CAAACAAAGCCAACATTGCAAAAGAATCGATCTCAACATTACATAATCTATGAATAAAAAAATGGAGATAGAAACAAAAATGCATAATGTCGTATAGAGACATATGAGTTCATTTGTAGTTCTTTAGGTGATGAGAGATCAAACTTTAGGAGCTAAAACAAAAAATCAAGAAAACAATAGCATACTATATAATATTTAGTTCATCGTAGCTTCAAAAAAATGGTCGAAAAAGTAAATAGTTTGTTTGGATTACTATGGAGCAGAAGAGTTCAAAGGAGATTTAATAGTGCAACCCATACAACAAATTTTCGAGAAAGCATTCCACCCTACATCAACAAAATAAGAATTCATATTTGGGAGGAAAATGGAGGTCAAACAGAGAGGAAAAGAAGAGGTTGATGTGTGGCATCCTTCACATCCTTTAAGAAGATTTCATCTCCATGTAAATAACGATTTTCAAAATAAGAGAAAATCACGAACCTTCCAAAAATGACAAAATATATAAGGATAAAGAAATATAGGCAATGAACCTATTAGGGGTAGAATAATCAGTTTTTCTACATTTTCAAAGAATTCATGAAAAATGTGTGAGTTTGCCATAAGTTTATTGAGAAGCATGGCTTGATCCAAGACTCATACTGTAGAAAGACATATGAATAAGATATGGAGACTGTTTCTTTGATGATCACAATGATTGCAGGAGATGTATCAATTTCATGAGCAGCCAGAGTTTGATCGATGAAGACAAAGCTTTTGCCATCAAATTCAAGAGAAAATATTTTATTTATGGTGTAGTATAAATTTGCCAAATATGATTACTCGATTTGATTAGAAACATGATAGATGTGAGTTAATAACCATTTTTGCAATTAAATAAACAGTAAGTGAATTTTGGAATTTCTAAATAAATATGTAACTAACAAATTTTTTGAACAAAAATGTATTATAAACAGATTTAAGGCGGAAATATTCAAGTAAACATTAATATAAAACTACTTATAAAAAGAAATGTATACCATAACGCCTAAAAAATGTGACAAAACTACTAAAAAATCAACATTGAACAAACAATAATTTAAGATTTTCTTTAAGCCATAAGAAAAGAATATACATAATTTATATTATATAAAATCTAAATATATACTATTATGCTCAAAGTTTATAAACTAATAACACGGTGTGTAAGTTAAATGTACTGAAAAATAAATTATATGTTGTTTATAGCATTTTAAGTCCTAACATACGAATTGAAGTTATTTAAATAAACATCGTGTTACATACAAATACTATTGACATCTAATTTTAAGAATTTCACTATACATATTTAAAAATATATTTCAAGATTTGATCTAAGCAATATTTTTGTATGTCAAGATTTGATCTCAACACGATATATTATATATTTAAAATTTTTTGTTTTACAGAGACTTTTGATATTGAAATATTATTAAATTTTAGTTGTTGATTTTTGCAGTTTAAAAAAGAAAAATATTTAAAAATATATTTTAAAGTGATTTAAAATACAGACCCGCGCGTGCGCGGGTGAAAGTCCTAGTCTTGCTGTAAAAAAATACGATATGCCGTTCATAGAGATTGGTGTCACCCGACACCATCCATCTGTGTCGGTCGATATCACATAATTCCAAAATTTCTCATGCATGTTTTAAAGACTTTTGAAGATCTGCATTTTGGCCAAAAAATTCCGCTTATTTGCAAAATTGCCTCATCCGTGTTTTAGAGATTTTTAGGTTATTAAGCTATTGTTAGACAACTTTTACAATTGTCCTATTTTCTATTGAGACTGTAAGAAAGATTTGTTCCAAAGATTTTGGTGAGACCATTCTGCTACTATATTCATTTGAGAGAAGAATTGTTTCTATATTTCTCTTTAATGCAATTTATTCAGTTTATGATGTTGTCTTCATTAACCATAAATGAGTAATCTTCTAGCTAGGTTTTGAGTTTTTCAAAGGTTGAAGATGGTTATTAGAATTGAAATACTGTTAGGATAATCTTTATAGTTTTTCATCTATATATTGTGCTTAATCATTGATTTCTAGAATTGATCACGTGGAATGATAAATATAAGCGAAAGTATTACGATCCCCTAAATTATCTTAGATGAGCAAAATATCTATCTAAGATATTTGGTTTAGAGAGTTTGTGAACAATTGAACCAGGATTAATGCTTGTCTGGTTTACTAAATTTGCAAAGAAATTTGGATTTTTAAGATTTAGACATAGATTATCTCAGCAACGAAAGTTAATTGGTTTTACATTAGTGTTTCATGTTCAAGAACAATGTAGTTTTGCAATTTCGGATTTAACCTGCGAAATTCTCAAGGCCTATCGTTTGTCTCTTTTGAATTTAACTTCGTTAATCAATTATCTCCTGCTTTGTTTTACTTTATTTGCATTACATTATTCATATTTCACTCACTTACCCTTATTTGAATCTGAAAATTTGGTGTGCAACTATCAAGACGTTTGGATTTATAACCCTATTTTGCTACAACTGATTCGTTGTGCATTTACAGTTATTTTTCGGGAGAACTGTACACCTATCAAAAAAACTAGAAATTAAAAGAAAAAAAAAAAAAACATCATTTTACCATTTTGTTTCTTTTTCCAATAATATGATAGTTGTGATTATAATAAACAAATATGATAGTTGTGATTATAAAATTTTACCCCGGATTGGATCCGGATATCCGCGGATATCAGATTTTTTTCATAGATACCTGAAATCCGAATATCCAAAAAAATTGGATCCAGATCCATATATCAAATTTACGGATCCGCCCGGATCCAAATCCTTTGAAAAAGCCAGATATCTGCTTCATCTTCAGATCTAATTGAAGGTTATATGTGTTAAAGTTTTCCATTTAATGGTTTAAACTATTAGTTAAAAACTTTCGAGATTTATAAGTGTAAGTGACTGGTACTTTAATGACTTTTAATGCGTGACTTTTTAATATTCTCTTTTGTATAATAATTTGTTTCTTCTTCTTGGTTAGAACATTTTATACTCCCTCCGTTTCAAATTAGTTGTCGTTTTGGCAAAATGTATTTGCAAATATTTGGACGTATCTGGACATGTTTTGCATTGCAGATACGTCCAAATATTTGCAGATACATTTTGCCAAAACGACAACTAATTTGAAACGGAGGGAGTATTATACTAAAAGGATCCTGTAAAGAGGAACAATGTTCAAGCGATAACAAAGCAGATTTTGGCAAATCGTTTATACACTTCTCCTAACAAGGAATATATATATATATATCGAATATCTCAAACTACCATTAAAAAAATTATGATGTCAAAATATTCCCCACTGGTTTTGTTTTTTCCAGAAGTTTTCAAAATATCAAAAACATTAAAAATGATTTTAAGGGTTTATGATTTATATTTTTGAGTTTAAGTTTAATATGGACAAGCTATTTACTGAAAACAGTAAGGAGATAGAGAAATTGTTTTACGAACGACTAACCTCTTGATGGCGCCAAGGAAGAAGAGAGAAGCTTTTATTACAATGCGGACTCCTCCTGAGGAATAAAACGGCCTTTAGTTTCTCAGATGGAAATTCTAATCTTTGTTTATATTCCATGCAACTTGTGTATTGTCTTATTTTCCATCAACCTCAGTCTCTGGTTCAGACTTTTCAACTCCATGTGGTGTGGACCTTCTTAAAGCGGCAATTACATACTTTTCATCCACACAACTCCAGTTAGTGGACCTTCTTAACTCGTCTCCTCTTAGAAACGATTATTTGAGCTCCTCGTGAAGTCTTCCTCATGATTATTATATTTTTACCATTTAACAAAATATCTTCATTGGATACAAAAATAAAAACTTACATACTGTGAATAAAACAGTATACTCACAAATAAAAGTTAACTCAAGCGTCAAAATATGTTGGCTTGTGGGCCTTATTTTTGGGCCACGCTACGTCTAGTCTTCTGGTTGGGCTCGATCTTAAAATATGTAAGGAAAAAGAATCTGTTGAGGTCCCTTTCAATTTGAAAGTATATTTTGATTATTCGTTTTCAGGTCGACAAAATTGAGTTGGACAAATTGTGGTAGAGGATTATTAAATAACAAACTATTGATTACGAGATATTAAAATGACAGTGACTATTGTACTATATGGTTGTAACCTGTAGAGTATGCATGACCGCATGTAAGTATGTAACTATGACTTATTGGCTTGTATTAAAGTTGTGGTTGTAAGCGTATACAAAGAAACCAGATAAAATTAATTGGATTTTCTTTATTTTTACAAATAATAGTATTCACTACAAGCTTTTTACAGTTTATAAAAATATAATTATTCAGAAGAAAAAAAAGTGTAAGTGATTGCCGTAGAAAATGTCAAATTAGAAGAGAATCAATTAGGTGTCTATTGGTTTTTAGTGTATTCAAGATCACTATTCATAAGGTCAGGACACAGAGAAGATTATAGATCAAAGGTCCAGACTTTCAAAAAATAAACTAAAATAAAATAAGGAAACAAAAAATGCAGTGGATCTTTGGCTGACTTGCTAATTGCGCGAAGTGAAGAGAATTGGCCAACTGTGAGAACATCAGTGAAGAACAATTTCAAAATCTGAGTAAGTCTTGTTTCTGGGTATGTCTCAATTCTTCATAATCTGAGTAAGTCTTGTTTCTGGTCTGAATATTCTTGTCGAACCTTCTATTACTGTCTTTTCCGCTAAACAGCTTAGCTTTTCATTGTTGATGGTCTTAATCTGTAGTTGTAACTCAGGTTCTGTTCCAAACATTTTTTTTTGTTAAAGCAGGTTTTGTTCCAAACCCTCTATCAAGATTCTGTTCGAAATTTCTAAAATAGTTTTTTCTGATTAATTATTTTGTATTCATGTTCATAATTTGATACACCGATGTAGCTCCTACAGTTGAATAATTATGTCTGCGTCTTTAAGTTTAAAATCAAGAACTGAGAAAAGATTTGACTGATATGCAGAATTGTTTGAATAAAAGAATGTCGAACGATACAGCTCACAAGCCATTATTATCTACGGAGCAATTAGATGACAAGACTCAAGAATTCAACCAAAACTCAAAAACCTCTTCAAGAAAAAGAAAATTGCGTCGCTGTAGAAGCGCTCCTCGTGGTGATTCAATGTACAACGATGATGATTCAGATGATGTCAAAATCGACGAACCACCTCCTCATCCGAGTAAAATCCCAATGTTCAAGAATCTAAACTCAAATCTCAGGCTAGTGATCATCTTCTTGGTTTTATATATTACCATTGGTACACTCTGCTTTTACCTCGTGAGAAACCAAATCTCCGGTCACAAGACCAACGATGTGTTAGATGCTCTTTATTTCTGCGTTGTAACGATGACAACCGTTGGATATGGTGACCTTGTCCCTAGTAGTTCCACCTCGAGGCTGCTTGCTTGTGCGTTCGTCTTCTCGGGAATGGTCGTCGTTGGTCATCTTTTAAGCCGAGCAGCGGATTACATAGTGGAGAGGCAAGAGAATCTGCTGGTTCGGGCTTTCGATATTCGCCAAACCGTTGGTCCGGAAGATATTCTCAAGGAGGTGCATACTAAGCTAAGACACAAATGCTATGTGACGTTTCTTGTTCTTGTTATCCTCATCATTACCGGTACGGTTTTTCTTGTAATGTTCGAGAAAATGCCGGTTATCGAAGCGTTCTACTGTGTTTGTTCGACCGTTACAACGTTAGGTTATGGAGATAAGAGCTTTAACTCGGGGACGGGACGGCTTTTCGCGGTGTTTTGGATCTTGACGAGTACTATATGTTTGGCTCAGTTTTTCCTCTATATGGCTGAGCTAAATGCAGAAACGAAACAGAGGGAGTTGGTGAAATGGGTTTTAACAAGGAGAATCACAAACAATGATCTTGAAGCAGCTGATCTTGATGAAGATGGAGTTGTTGTGTAAGAGACGTTAGACAAATTCTCTCTTTTTTTGTTTCTTTTTTAGTTTTCTTCTTCTTCTTCTTCTTATTGTTTTCTTTTTATGTGTTGTAGAGCTGCAGAGTTTATATTGTATAAACTGAAAGAAATGGGGAAGATTGATGAGGAAGATATTGCTGGGATCATGGAAGAGTTTGAGGAACTGGATTGCGATGATTCGGGTACTCTGACGAATGCTGATATCACTCTAGCTCAAACGGGGTCATAGATCCAAAGGTAAGCCTCATCATCTTTTGGAGACGAAGAAGAATATGTTTAAGTAATTATACTTGCACACTCTCAATCTTTGATTACGTCTTGATGCCTGTTTGTATATATAATTTACATACATATGGATTGCCTTGCCTTGGCACTGCTATTCTTTGGTTGGGTTCGGATTGGTTTTTAGGTTTCTCAGTTTGTAAAAAATAGCTATCATATTAAAATCATATATACTTTGGTTTGGTTCGGTTTGGATACTGTTGATTTTCCGTTTCAAATCAATAACCATAAATATTTGGTTTGATTTAATATTATGTGAAGTTTCTATGGTTGAAATCAGATTCACTAAAACATAGAAAATACTAAAACTGAAATTGAACTGAACTGAACTGAAATGATAGCTAGTTTTATGCTCTGGCTTGTAAGAAATAGTATTTGTCTCCAGTTTACCTTATTACTAACATGAAAATTTATTTAACAAAAAAATTATGAACATCTGTCTAGAAAAAGCAAATAAGAACAAGACCACTGTTTTCAATATCACCGAATTAATAAGATTTCCCAAATAAATTAGTAGGTTTTCAGCAGCAAAGAATAGGAATGTCCTATCTTATTTAAAACCAACAGAATCATTTTAACAATAAAAAAGTAGTACACTAATATAACCAAATGTTAGGATATCAAAGTAATATCAATAAAATCACTTAAATGTATATAGATTACCGGCTATACTAGTATATATTTTACATGTTACTATACTCCTTAACGATATTATATCTATCAATCGATTTATATTGATTTATTTATTTACCAGTTTATTACCAAACCATATGGATATGGTTTATATCGTATAACCAAAACCAAACCATATTGCTCTATATCGTTTGGCTGATTGAACACCCCTTTTTCCAACTGTCTTGAATAATTAAGCATTCTAGTGTAAAGTTGATATATGTTGTATCTCCACATTCTACAACACTCCCGTTTCGAGAAGTAAGTAACACCTTCCAACCTGTAAAACATTTACTCGTTTATTAGACCATCTCCAACCCTCATGCCATATGTTATTGCAAATGGCAAAAATATAGCAATAGCATTGGGTTTCTCTCCAACCCCTCATGCCATATATCATGCTATAATTTTTTTCCAACTTATTATTAATTGTTAAAACTACTTGATTTCTTCAAATTTTACAAAGTGAATCATTTGTTTTTCTTTTTTTGCAAAAACAACCAGAATTATATATATTTTTATTTTTTTTATTATAATATTAAAACAAAATACATCATATTACATAAAAATTATAGAAAACAAAGATTTTAACCTATTGTTTTATGTTTTTTGAATTTCAGTATTTTTAAAAATAAAATTTTAAGTTTATTATGGTTATGTTTTTATATTTCTATGAAATAAATATTATTTATATTTTGAAAAAGTTATGAGTATTGTTTATTTATTTAAATAAATCATAATCAATATAATTAAACTGTTAAATTAAAAGTAATTACAAATTGAAGGACTATTTTATAAATAAAAAAGTTCAATGGCAAAATAGCATATTGCATAATCTCCAAACAAAATAGCATAAATGCATAATGAGTGTAACCTGTTTTCATCTTTATTTTATTAAGAGGTTACCTTTTTCCGGTGGAAATATTGGCCTCATTCGGTTCCAGTTTTCTTCTTTCCATATGTCATCAAGGACAATCAACCATTTAGATGTTTCCAACAATCGGAAGATCTTCTGTCATCTTCATGATCTTATCTTCCTCTCCACTCGGTATAAGAGTCCCCAAGATTGTTTGACACACAGATTTACGAGTAAATTCTTGTGAAACACACACCCATGTGAGTCCATCAAACTTATTTCTAACCATATCATGGTTAAAAACTTCTCTACCAAGGGTGGTTTTACCAAGACCACTCATCCCACTTATAGAAACCACTTGAACATTATCTTCATCCACCAAATTCTTAACATTTCCTTCCAACCCCACAAGATTGCTTTCGGAGTATATAGCAAATTCTTGTCTTTCCTGATGAGGTTGTGAATCCTTGCTATGGGCGATAATATGTTGTACTAGTACTCCAAAACTTTGCATATCACGAGTCACCTTAGAGATCCTCTTATTGAGGCTTCCAATTTCTAATGCAATTTCCCTGCGTTGTGGAATAATACAAGGAAGTCTTCTGATAACCTTCTTGATGCCACCATTTTTTCCGATTTCATCTTTTAGAACAAAGGTTTCAAGTATCTCCTCTGCATCACAAATTATTTCTTTGATCACTTCCACAAAGTTTCTCACCATGGCACTTGTATGGTTTTTGGCATCTGCATCTTTCAAAAATGACTTTAACGTGTTTAGATCGGCTTTTAGTATGGCGCGGCTAGGGTTTAGGCGATCCCAAGGGCGATTTTCTCCCTAGACCTCAGTCTTCTCAACGGCGGCACGAGATCCGATACCAAGCCACTCTCCGACACACCAAAGCATAACAACCTTTGGCCTCTACGGTACACTCACGGTGCGGTAAAGGATCTCATCCCATATACTACTTGTGGTCTAGGTTACAGAAATCTCTAGCAAGTGCTACGTTGGTGATTGTGTTTTTCTAGCTTTGTGCTACGACTTAGATCTGCGATAGTTCAGATCTCTACGCTCTTTTGCTTGGAAGTGGTTTCAGATCTGATCTGTGGAAGCCGTTTGGACCTAGTTTTGTAAAACCTAAGATTTGACGTGATGAGCAATCTTACGGGCAAAGGACGAAGAGGAGGATCCTCTAACCTCCCCAACTCGACTTATCGAAGGTTGGATCTGGAGGAAGAGGTTATTCCGCTCCCAGGATGTGACCTAACATCCGCTGCGGAAAAATTCAAGAATACCCTGATTGGGAGAATTTTCTACACGGAAGGCAGAAGCATGGATGCCATCATTGGACAGCTCCCAAAGTCAAGGATTTGGGATGTCGAGGGGCGCGTTCAGGGACAGAATCTCGGAAACGGACAATTCCAATTTGACTTTGACAATGAGGAAGACCTTCAAAAGGTTCTGCATAAAAGACCCTGGCACTTTAACCGATGGAGCTTTTCACTTGAAAGATGGGAAGCTTTTACTAGTGCTACCTTCCCCAAGATGATGCTGTTTTGGGTTAAAGTCACTGGTGTACCAATCCATTTCTGGAACGATGAGAATCTATCTGCCATTGAAAGCGCTCTAGGAGATGTGAGACAAATAGAAGCACACAAAGCAAAATTCCAGGTCTATGTCAATGCAGACGCTCCATTGAAGTTCGAAAAAAAGGTTAGCTTCCCTAACGGTGACGTCGGTACGGTTACTCTCGAATATGAGGGACTATATCGTTACTGCTTCACCTATAAGCTACTTTCACATGAAGAGGGCACATGCCCGAACCTCTCTGAGGAGCAAAGACAGCGAAACAAAGCACTAAGAGCGGAACAAAATGGCATTCCAGACAGAAACGGTCAAAACAAAGGGAGGGAGAGCTATAAACCACGGGTGGAAGAGTATACTGATTCACGCTCCCAGCGTACCAATGATGATCTTTCCTATCGCCCCCGAAACGTTTACCAGGAAGCCAGATCAGGACCGCCAATACCTCAAGACTACTATCACAGAGGAGAAAGGAGGGTGATTAGAAATAGTGATCTTAGGCACGAGCTAAAGGAGAAACGTGAGACAAGAGGTAAAGAGGTATGGAATAGAATTGAGAAACCAGTTTATAACAGGGATCACACCAGAGGCGACCGCTATCACCCTTACCAGCGGCCCCGTGGAGGCTTCGAAAGATCCAATACCCAAGCCCGAGATTCCCACAAAGTGTGGCGACCAAAACATCCACCAAGACATGGTGAGAATTTTAAAACCGATACGCCACACTCGCATGCCTCTGTCCAAAACAGAGATCGTATGGGGGCTGTCTCTGACTCACAACGTACAACGTCAGAGGAACGAACTCCCGTCCGAGACAACAACAGAAGAGGCTCAGGACACCTGATTGTATACCCAAAGGAGCCACTCGAGGATAGCTTACGTAAGCTTAAAGGCAAAGCACATGTAACCGAAACATCAAGAATGGCAGAGAAAAGGGAAAGAGACATACAACTGGGGCGTAAGATTGGATCCCTGACCATTGCGGAACCTCTATCACCCCCAGGACGTGTAATCCCTACAACTAACCCCACAACTCTGGTCACTACAAAGAGCATACAGCCTGACGAACCCATTAGCCAAATGGACCAGGAAGTGCCTATGGAGGAGGAGGATGAGGGTTATACAGAGGCGGAGCTCATGCAAATGGAAGCCGAATTCGAGGCCCACGGAATGGATGAACAAACGATGGAAAACGATGATCTCTTGGGTGAGGAACTAGAGGCAGACGCGGAGCAGACTGAGGCTATATCTCAGCTCTCTCCTGTGAAATCTACCTCAGGTATTGTCAAACAAAAGGTCGTTGAAACCTCGGCTGACACCAGGAGAGGACCGGCTACAAGAGATCAACAAATTCCGGTTGGACAGGACACAATCAGTGCCCGCAGGAAGGCATCGACAAACCCGCTAATCAAGGCCAATGCTGCATCAAAGAAACTACAGGGCCTACGCATCAAGGCGTCGCCCAAAAAGAAGTCCGGAACGAGTAAACAAGCCAGACCGACGACTTCGAAAGCACAAGTCCCTCGCAATGAGGTGTATCCCTCTGCTTTGAGCAGGAAACCTTCTACTACTCTGCTTGGTTCGGTGGTGTCCCAGAAACCACCCAGTAAGAAGATATGAAGACAATAGCTTGGAATTGCCAAGGTGCAGGAGCTGACCTTACAAGATATCACCTTCAAGAGCTGCACCGTTTCTTTGCACCCTCTTTTCTCTTTCTTTCAGAAACTAAAAACAATTCTACTTTTATGCACTCTTTTTTGAATTCTTTTGGGTATGATAAATTGTTCACCGTTGAGCCAGAGGGGCTCAGTGGAGGACTAGCTCTGTTTTATTATGACTCTTTTGATGTTACTGTCCTGTCCTCCTCATCACGCATGATCGATGTCGAAGCCACTATTGAGGGGAAGAAGGTCTATATGACCTTTCTCTATGGAGATCCGGTTAAAGAATGCCGTGAAATTGTTTGGGATCGTTTGATCCACATCAGTCTACAGAGGAAAGGAAATTGGCTTATGATTGGAGACTTCAATGAGATCATGGGCAACCATGAGAAACGTGGTGGAAGAAGGAGAGCCGAATCGTCCTTTCTTGATTTCAGGAAGATGATAAATAGCTGTGGCATGATTGATTTCCCTTACAAAGGTAACCCTATGTCTTGGGTGGGATACCGTGCCTCAGGAAAGGTTCAATGTAGACTTGACAGAGCTATAGGTAATGAAGATTGGCATCAATCGTTTTCCCACACTAATGTGGAGTATTTAAAACTCTGGGGCTCAGACCATCGACCAGTGCTAGCCAACATCTTGTCTAAAGCTTCAGAGCCACGGCATAATTTTCGTTTCGATAAACGCTGGTTGGGCAGAGAAGGATTTGAAGATACGGTCAAAGCCGGCTGGAATATGCAGCCAGACACAGAAAATGGAGACGTATATCGCAAGACACATACATGTCGTCGCGCCATAGCTGCGTGGAAGCGAACGTGCAAAACAAACTCAGCAAAGAAGATAGATGAGATCAAAGAACAACTGGAACATGCTCAAACAGATCTCAGTATCTCCAATGACGTCTTCCTTAATCTAAAAAATAATCTCTGCTTGGCATATCGTGAGGAAGAGCTTCACTGGAAACAGAAGAGCCGTGTTAATTGGTTAAAAGAAGGAGATCATAACACTAAGTTCTTCCACGCCACTACAAAGCAAAGACGAGCACGTAATCGTATCACGAAAATCAAACGCTCAGACGGGTCTTGGGCGGAAAATGAGGAGAGCATCAAACATACGGCCACAGACTACTTCAGCTCCCTCTTTACCTCCTCAAATCCGCAGAACTTTGATGATGCGCTCCGGTACGTTACCGCGAAAGTCACGCCTGCGATGAACACCTCACTGACTAAACCCCCGTCGAATGACGAAATCAAAAAAGCCATAGCTGATATGAATCCAGACAAGGCGCCAGGACCTGATGGCATGACAAGCTTATTCTATCAACAATTCTGGGAAGTGACGGCGAGAGATATCATATGTATGGTACGAGGTTTCTTTGAAGGAAATGGATTGGATGCTCGACTAAACCAAACGAATATCTGCCTAATACCTAAGACGGAGAGACCTCGGGACATGACAGAGTTCAGGCCTATTAGCTTATGCAACGTTAGCTACAAGATTGTTTCAAAAATCTTATGCAACAGACTCAAGCGGTGTCTACCGAAGATAATCTCAGAAACCCAATCAGCCTTTGTGGCCAAACGGCTCATCACAGATAATATCCTTATTGCACAAGAGGCTTTTCATGCTCTGAGAAAAAACTCCATGTGTAAGACAAAATATGTTGCTATCAAGACTGATATGAGCAAAGCATATGATAGGGTGGAATGGAGTTTCCTAAAAGCACTTATGCTTAAGCTTGGCTTCGCAGAGACATGGGTTTCATGGATACTCTCGTGCATCACATTAGTATCTTACCAAGTCCTAATTAATGGTGAGGCAAAAGGTAACTTACTGCCAACACGGGGCCTACGCCAAGGTGATCCTTTATCACCATTCCTATTTATCCTCCTTACTGAAGCTCTTGTTGCTCAGTTAAAAGGAGCAGAGGAAGAAGGCAAGATTACTGGTATGAGAATCGCGAGAGCTTGTCCCACCATATCGCATCTCCTTTTCGCTGATGACAGTCTGTTCTTCTGCAAGGCAGAGGTATTGCAGTGCACTGAACTGATGAGAGTCATCCAATGTTATGGTTTGGCGTCCGGACAGCAACTCAATGTAAACAAATCCTCCATATTCTTTGGAAGTAAGGTCCCTCATGACGTACGCCACACTCTAAAAAATGCCCTAGGGATCCACAAGGAGGGAGGCATGGGTTCTTACTTGGGCTTACCTGAGAATATAAGTGGATCAAAGCAAAAAGTCTTTGTATTTGTACGTGATAGACTAAATGCAAGAATCAACTCATGGTCCGCCAAATTTTTATCCAAAGGAGAAAAAGAGGTATTACTAAAATCGGTGGCGCAAGCCCTCCCCACTTATGTTATGTCCTGTTTTCTCCTACCATTAGGAATCATCAAGAAACTACACAGTGCTATCTCTAACTTCTGGTGGAGCAACAAACAAAACAGTAGAGGAATCCACTGGATTGCCTGGGACAAGATATGCCTCCCCCATGAGAAAGGCGGACTTGGTTTCCGAGACCTTCATCTCTTCAATCTTGCACTACTTGCAAAGCAACTGTGGAGACTTATCCACTATCCGTCATCCCTGTTGGCGAGAATACTGAAAGGTAGATATTACAGAAACTCACCCCCCCTGGCTGTGGAAAAATCAAATGCTCCATCCTATGGGTGGAACAGCATTTTGGCTGCAAAAGATCTCTTAAAACACGGTCTACGTAGAACAATTGGTACAGGGGAAAACACCTATGTGTGGAAAGATCCTTGGATACCGACAACTCCTCCACGCCCTCCAGCTGACAGTGGAATGATGCAGGACCCGATGCTGAGAGTTTCGACCCTTGTGGACCCGGTAACTAAGGAATGGAAGCTAGATAAGCTCAGTGATCTGTTTACAGTGAACGATATTCATGCAATTCTCAGTCTCAAGCCGAGTGTCTCACAACGTCAAGATAGCTATTGTTGGGTGCCTACGAAATCGGGTCTATACTCTGTACGCACTGGCTATATCCTAGCTATACACAACAAGGAACAACTATCCAAACAAGTGATGTCCCAGCCAAGTGTCGATGCCTTAAAGAGTAAAGTATGGACCCTGAAGACAACTGAGAAACTTAAACATTTCATCTGGCAAGCCCTAGCTGGTATTACACCCGTATGCAGCAAGCTAGCAGACTGCCACTGTGCTGTAAACCGAAACTGCCCCAGATGTGGAGCAGAGGAGGAAACAATTAACCACATGATCTTTGAATGCCCCCCCCTCCCTCTTAACGTGGCAACTGGCCGAAATTGCACCAACTCCGGGGAACTTCCCGTGTAACGCCCTGTTTACCAACTTAGACTATCTCTTACAGAATGCAAGCAAGACAGACTCCACGACCAAACCCCTGTCACGGTTCCCCTGGATCATTTGGTTCATATGGAAGGCTAGAAATGAGATGGTTTTTGATGGCAAAGATGTGGATCCCAGAAGCACTTTGCAGATGGCGTGTGCAGAGTCAGAAGCATGGCTTGCGGCCCAAGCCTTTACGAACGCCATCGACAAAAGTCCCGACAACACAACAAACCCCCCACTGACAACAACAACAGATACGATATTCCCACGATGCCAGGTAGATGCATCATGGGTATATGGTAAACAATTTTTTGGAGGCGGTTTTGTTCTGGATACAGGGCATTACAGCTCACTACAAGGATCCTTCGCGAGGTCCCAAGTCCTATCGCCATTACACGCAGAGTTTCAAACTTTACTTTGGGCGATGTCTACGGTCCGACAGTTTGGATACACCTCTATGAGGTTTGAAACCGACTGTCTTCAGCTGACCAGGCTTATCGAAGCAGAAGAAGAATGGCCCTCGTTGGCCTCGGAGTTTGATGAATTCTTATCATTACAAGCTCGTTTCCTCTCTTTTTCACTTAGTTTTATTCCACGTTCAAATAATGTCCGTGCCGATGCTCTCTCTAAAGAGGCTCGAGCACGCGAAAACACTTTTTCCCATGTACAACCTTTAGCTCCGATTCGTGTGGCCTCACAAGCTACCCCTATCGAAGCAATCTAATAATACATGGAGACTTTCGACGTCAAAAAAAAAGATCGGCTTTTAGTTCAGTGACTTGATCTTCAACTCCCTGAAACTGAGCATATTGTTGGCTCAGTAGCTCCCAAAGAATTTCCAAGCCAAAGGAGAACACAAGTTCCCCAAACATAATGGCTCCTGCTTAAGCAGTATTAAAATAAGAGTCAGGCTACGTTTTATTGATAAGTTGGTTTTTCATATTTTAACTAAGCTTTAAAATTAGTGATGATGAATTTTATATATGTTAATACGTTTTAAATGATGAAACTCACACTAAAATAAATATGTAAATTTAGTAAACTGTTAACCAAAAAAAAAAATGAATCTGTATTTTCGTGAGCATTATCACTATATATATATATATATATATATATATATATATATATATATATTTAAGCTTGTAGAGATTAAAAGAAAGAAAAAAAAAATCCTTACATGAGTTATGTCTCTCTTGACATACTCAGTTGCAGGAGAGACCAATAGTAGCACTGATCCAGGACACACTAGTTCTACTTTTTAAGACGTATTTAGCATTCAAGATCCGAATAGAAGAGAGAGAGAGAGAGAGTGACGTTGGACAATATCTATGAGATCTACTTAAAAAGCTATATTCAATTGAATATTTGGCATAAAGCTTGTTTTTATTATCAAACTTAAAGAAGTCACACAAATTAAAGCCTATATATATATCAAAGCTAACATAGTTTCAAGAGAGACAATAGTAGTACCGATCCAGGATATGGTGGACACTATAGACTAAATAGAGATATCAATATATCATTCACCGTAAGTAAACAAATAAATTTTCTATGAAAAACGAAAACTGGCTAACCTCTTAAAGACGCCAATAAATTCTCTCCTAGCTTGTTGTCGATCGCATTTCAGGAAGAAGAGATCTACTTTGCTCTTTAGTTATTAGGAAGAAGAGATAAGCTTGACTTCTAAGTCTCTGGTTCAGACTTTTCAACTCTCAAATTGATGGACCTTCTTAACGCGGAAACTGCTTTTTGTCCACAAATTTATCTAATCATATTTTCAGCCTTAACTTAAGTGGTAGAATAGAAACAGTTTTTTTACCTCCTTTTAAAAGCCTCGCTATAATTCTTATAGAAGAGTCCGCTAAACCCAAGGTTTTTCTTCATCATTTGTTTTTATTAGAATAATGTCCTTGCCGTGATTATTGACATGTTCATTGCTCTTAAAGCTCAGAAGATACAAACCAATTACTCAATTAGAAATGAGACTGTCACATGACTCTTATATATACTGTGTTATGACTCTTCTAACTATCGATGTGGAATACTACCAAAAAGGTATAAAAGAAAAATCAAATTTCAATGTTCTAATCAAGTTAAATGTGAAACCACACAAACAATGGTATGAATTCATATCTGGTGTCATTTTGTCATAATCTGTAACTCCTAATTTGTGGTACGTACTGCTTTCGGTGTAAATATCATCGTAAAGCTTTTAGTCTCTTGATTAAGAAAAACTTCATCATTTTTGTTTGCTTTCAATGCAGATTCCATGAATACTATCTTGCATGTGTAATATTATAGCATGGTTCAGGTTGTATGTAGGCATGGCATAGCATTTATAGTTGGGATCAGTTAGTTATATAAGAGCACTCAAGTGTTTGATTCAAAATCTCTGTTGATCTTTTGTAAAAACAAAAAGAAAAAAAAAATAGCCAAAACAAAATTATATTGATCAATCAGTGATCGTAAAGTTTTGGATTAGTCTAATTGGAGGCAAGTGCCGCAGTAAGGCACAACATGTATAAAAATAGCAACAGCAGCAGCCAAACCAGGGATACAACATGTATAAAAATAATGACTCTTAAACACGTAGGCCAAATTGTATCAAAATAGTCTACCCTATGTATTTACAAAATAAATAAATTTTATAACTAATTTAAACGGGAAATGTAATAAAAAAAATTGTCAAATTGATTGAAACAGTCAAATAATCCAAAAACCAGTTACAATAACAAGATCCGAAATATTATCCAAAAAACTATTATCCAAAAAACTAACTTTCAAACTCTAAAATCTCAATTCTAAACCCAAAAACTGTATAATCTTAATTGAAGTTTTTCAAAAGGTTTATGTTCTTAATTAAAGACTTTTGATGAGCGTGTTTAATTGATATGTGTTGACTGTTTCTAATTTTAACAACCGATAGAGACAAAAAGAAATAGAAGTGTTGACTATTTCTAATTCTAACAATCAATAGAGAGGAGTGTTAACTGTTAGCCATTAACTGCGCGTTGTGATACATATAGTTGGGAACGGAGGTAGATGCTACTGTATTTAATTCGGGTATGGTTTTCTAGCAAAAGTCGGTTCGTATCCAATTTAATTAAATATATACTCCTTCTGTTTTTTAATTGTTGTTTCGGTATTTTTACACAGATTTAAATTTCTACAATACTTTAATTTAATTATTTTGTTAATACAACCCGAATTGATGTTAAAACAAAAATATTAAATGAACAAGGTTAAAACTGAAAATTTATAATATAGTATAATTATGCATTAAAACCTTAAAACGACACTTACTTTAAAGTTTAAACAAACCAAATTAAGTTTAAAATAATATTTATTGTGAAACGTAAGACATAATAAATTAAGGTTAAAAAGTCCCAATCGAAATTAAATTTTATTTTTTAGTCATTTTTTGCTGGCCATGCATATCACAATTCATAACTTACATGGCACAAAAATAACAAGTAATGGCAGAGTAACTAACGTAGACTTTCTGACTTTGTCAAAAAATTTACAACATGAGTCCGTACCACCAAGTCAACAAAACCATGTTCCGAATTTATTCTTCAACACGCTATCTTTCTCCTTTCTCAAAATTGACGTTATATAATAATCTCTCTACCTACTTAAAACCATTCCATTCACCAAAACCAAACCCATCATTATTACATCTAAACAAAAACAAAAAAGAACAAAATATGAGAAAGACATCAGGACAAAAGCAGAACAGGTTATTGAGAATCATTACCATGCCTCTAAAAGTCTTAGGCAAGGCTCGTGATCTCTACATCCGAAGCATCACAGGCTGCGCAGCTCGCACTCACTACTCCTCAGCCGACGCCGTCTCCATTCCCTTTCCGAGAAGCCGGAGCACTTCCTCTGCCTTCTCCTCCTCAGCCTCTTCCCGGACAAGACTTTCTGATTACGACGATGACTACAGCGAGCTGATCAGAGCTGCTTCTGTTAGGAGTTTGGGGCATAAGAACGAGACTGACATGTTCATACAGCAACGGCAGAGTAATCACGTCGCGGTGGGAGCGGTTGCATCGGTAGCGGCAACAGCAAAAGGCCGTTTGCCGAAGAGTTCGAGTGTAGGGATGAAAATGGCCAGGATTGAAGAAGATGATGAAGAAGGATCACTGAAAAATCAGAAGAAGGGATCTGCTTTCTTATACCCTCGTAGCAGATCATCTGCTGTTACAATTAGAGGATCAAAGTTTTAATTCACTAATTAACTGTCATTTTCTTTTATTCTTCTCTAGATTTTTATATCATTTCTTGATTTTGGTAAGAAGAAGAAAAGAACATGACAACGAGGGAGTAGTAGTTCCCAAATTACTATGGTTATAGAATTATTTTGATGTAAAGTTACTATAAAAGATTTGTACCAAAAAGTGAATGTCAAATATTTCTAAACCAAAATGCGTATTTAATACAACGACGGAGTCTAGGTTTCATTTTGTATTTATTAATTTTGTTCTTTCTGTTAAACGAATCTAAAAACTTGTTTGAAGAACATTCATCATGATATATTTTTTTGTTATTTTGCTTTTTCCATCTACTTTTCTGAATCAATAAAGCCAAATGACACGAACAGAACTTTACGGGATCTTTAATAGATAGTTCAATTAGTTGACCCAATAAGTTTTTTCTCGGAAAAGATGGACCAAAATCTGAATTCAGGTGGTAGAAATTACAAGTAAGGAAATATATGACCATTGGTAAAGTTAGGAAAGCATTGTTGTAACGCCAAAATCACGGAAAGTCGATGAATAAGTGAATTCTTGTTTGAAGATATATATTTGATTGTCTTCATGTATCTAGTTGCACTTTTTATATGTTTATAGTGAATTGTTGTTTGTACACTCGTGTCTTCGTGTGTTCTGGTTGTACGTATTTAAATATATAATGCCTCTTTCAAATTAGTTGTCATTTTGTCAAAATGTATCTGCAATGCAAAACACGTCCAGATACGTCCAAATATTTGCAGATACATTTTGCCAAAATGATAACTAATTCGAAACAAAGGGAGAGGGAGTACCTGAGATTATACTTTTTCTGCTACTTAATATAGCAGACCAACATTTTGAGGATGTGTCACTATTAATTGTGTTTTTCGAAAACATTGATTTCCTTTTGTCCTAATGTGGCTTAAGTCATATGTTCACCAAACTTTGTTGTCGCATTTAATTAACAAATTAAAATAACCAACTTGTTTTCATAACTTCATTTAGTGACCACCTGCATAGATTTGCTGGATTTGTCGACTTGGTGAAACATGTTAGAGTACTTTATCTTTGGCTTCATATATTTTAAGCCTCCTCAATTCTAAATTTGTAATAGCCTAATAGGCAAGTAACTACAACTAATACAGAGCCAAAAAAGAACTTCAGCTGTTTTCTCTCATTTAAAGTTGTCTTGATTTAATGGCAATTGACCAAAATAAACTTAAAAAGCCAAAACAAACTCATAAGTTTTTTTTTTATTCAGAAAAGGACCAAATCCAATATAAAAATAATTCAGTTTTTTTTTCTTTCTAAAACCCAAAAATCTAACATATAATTCAGAAAAAATGACCCAAACATAACCCTTTAATTTTATATCCTTTTAGGGCAAACAATTTTTTTGTTTACAAAATTATTTAGTCCATTTTGAGAATTAAAAAGGTTACGAGTCTCTTTTGAGAATACCAAACATTTTTTCGTCTAAGAATATTTTTCGAAATATTTTATAAACAATCATAATTATAAAATCCTAGAAATTAGTTTTACAGAAAATAACATTAACATAACTAATTATTGCATAAAAGTATTTAGTAAAAACGGAGAAAAAAATTCTTAAAACGCAGACTTGGTTACGTGAAAGAATGATATACCATTTAGATTCATACAACCTATAAAACAGAAATAATCATCAACAATTTTGTCACCTTTTACACGTTTAAAGAACACTAAACACAACCAAAAATCGCCAAATACATTCCACAACCTTCATTTCTATTGTTGTTTTTCCTTCTGGATGACATTTCTTGTGACTTGATCAACTTGGAACTATGACCATTTGGTTTCTTGAACCGGAGGAGCTCTGTAATACGCAGGCACAGTCGCCGGGAAAAACATCTGCCTAACTCCTTCCGCCTTTATGATCGGAAATATAATCCCCGATGCTCCCTACAATTGCAATTTTCGCTTTATCCGTTAAGATCATATACCGATAAGGACTGATGAAACTGAACAATGTGATACATTACCGAGATCAGTCTAGCTCCAAGCCACATCCGTTTAGGAGAAGGAAACGGGATCAGCAACCGCATGACTCCATAAACCGCAACCGCAAAGAAGTGGCAAACAAGAGTCAACGGCCGAGGATTCAAACCGGAAAGCAAAGAAACCGGTCCGCTCGTGCACATCCCTCCGAGGCTCAGATACTCGAAACACGCGTCCCTCATCGCGTTTCTTGCATCGTCTTTACTCGAACAGAACACTTTGTAAAGAGCTCCCGCAAGAGTGTTGATCGTTGACGCCACTGGCTGCAAAAAACAAGAATGATTTTATCAAAACACTAAGCTCTACTAATTTCTTGATAGTCTGTAAATTAATGATTTTACCTTCCGTAGAGTGTAAAACGATTCAAGATATTTGCAGAGACTAGGACCGTCGCTGAGGTCACGCAGCGGTCTAAGAAGATTACGCAAGACTACAATGTCGGATAACGCTACCGTCATTCCTCCGCCGGTTAGAGGATGACGCATGTTGAATGCGTCTCCCATTAACAAAGCTCCCGGAGTTGGATAAGGAGAAGCCGGCATGCTTCTGTTCGGCATTGACTTGATGTTTCCTTTGTCAATCGCAGCGATGAATGAGTCATAGACCTCATGAGGCATCTATAGAACAGAGAGAAAGCATTCAAATTTTACCAAAGACTCCGTGAAGAGAAACACACACACACATTACCTGAGGAGCCACAACAGTTTTCAAGTAGTTTTCCATTTCACCGTTTGCAATGGAAGGAACTTTCTGGCCAGGGACATCGACTAGACAACGGACCTCTGTGCTACTGATTGGATACATGAGAATCGGTGATGGATCTGCTAAGACGACATGTCCATGGTTTTCATATGGGAGGTTGCAGTTCTCTAGGACCAAGCCGACGAAACAAGAAGGTACCTCCACCTGCAAGAAAGTTGGAAAAATCAGCTGAGAGTAAATTTTTTATATGAGAGAACAGTAATAGACTGTATGTTTACCTGAGGATTGCAGAGAGAGCGACGCAGGTTTGAGAAACAACCGTCACAAACGATAGTCAAAGATGCAAATGCTGTAAGTTCCTCTCCTGCTTTGTTCTTGTATCTCACACCTTTGACTGTACCATTCTCTTCTACAAGAGAAACAACTGATCCTTGCTCTAGCCTCACACTGTTGAAGTACACAAAGAGTGGAAACGTTAAGAAAAAAAGTGATTTTAACAATGTTCTATGCATGTTCATCATTTATTTTCTGAAAAAAACGTACTTGGGAAGTGAATCAGCTTTCTCACGCATTCTTTGTATAAACCGTCCATTGTGAAAGCTTCTTCCAGAGACATCTGTGTCAAACTTCTCCAAGGGATAAGCTAAGCGAATTCGTTTCCCATCTTTAAAAAGTGCATAGCCATACACACGCTGCGCATCTATTTCCTCCACGCAATCTGTAGATAACATCCCTCCAATGTCATTTACTAGCAAAACAAACTACAGAGCAATATGCTCAACAAAATCAATTTCTCACCTTCGATTCCAAGCTCAAGTAGCTTGAGGTAGCCACCAGGTTGCAACAGCTCTCCAACAATGCGATCTGGCTCTGATAAATCTCTTTCAATCACGTGAACTCTGCGATTATCCTATAAAATCACAAAAACAATGTGCAATTTAGCACTTGTTGCTGCATAGAGAACTCTCACGCTGTGGCGTCTAAAATTCACATTTCCATAACTTATGTTAACTTTCCATTGCTAATCTCAAGAACTTGTGCATTGCGTGAAGCAACTTGTTACTGAATATTCCGGAAACAATCTCAAAATCGAAATTGATTCAATTGATTTGCTTCAACACATAAAGAGAAATCGAAATTCGCTAATGACTAAGCAGGAATTAATACTACAGAAACATTCTCAATCCTTGAATTTCTAAATTTCTCACTCTGAATCAAAATCTGGAAACCCTAAAAGCTCTCAAAATCAAACAGAGGGGGAAATGAGGAGAAATTGACCTTTCCAAGAGTGTAAGCGAGAGCAGAACCAGCGACGCCAGCTCCAACAATGATAACGTCGGCGACGGAATCTCCGGTAACATTCACGGATCCGGCGTCTGCGGTGACGGTAGAGACGGTGGCGCGATCGTGACGGATCCGCGAAGCTGTAGAGTCTGGTTTATCATTACTGTTCCGTCTCTGCTTCACGAAAAATCCATAGAAAGCGACGACGGTGATCACGAGAGCGGCGGAGATACAATAACCTAATAATTGAAGCTCCATCGTCGTTGCGTTGCGTTTTTACAGAGAAATTTCGATTTCGATTTCTCTGCGGAAAGAACGAGAAAGGAGAGAGTTTTATCTCTCTTTCTCTTTCTCTCTGTCTGTCTCACACGAGAGTTTGCTTGTTTTTTCTATTTTATTTAATGTTTTTGACTTTTACGCAAATTCCAAGTTCATTTACGCTGGCAAATCGTTTTACAATATTTTTGCTGGTACAAACAAATTTCACATGGTTCAATGATCCTACAACTTGAACCACGTCCGGTTTGGTTCAATCGTTAATGTTCAGGCTCTGTTCAGGCCTTCAGGGAACCTTAAAAGAAAGAGTTGTTGGATAAGAGATTTGTGGTGTAATTATTAGAGGTTTCAGGAGATTTTTTTTTATGTGGAAAAATCTCATATTTAATGATTTTTACATTTATTTTTTCAAATCATGTGTTATTGAACATGGAATTTTTTAAAAATCATTTTTTCTTTCTTACATCTCATTCAAATTACTAACAATGCTTGCTTTGTAAATTATATATTTGTTAAAAGTATATCAATTCCAATCTAATTAAAAGGAAACAATTGGTTAGGGAAGAAATTTTTGTAAGAGAAATTCATAACTAAAAATGGGTGATAAGGAAATTCATACATCAATGTCATGAGACTTTTACCCGAAAATCCGAACCTGACCCCAAAAAACCCTAATCAAAGATGAAATTTGAATATAGGAGACCGATTTTTATATTTCTAAACCCAAAATTCGAAAAAATTCCGATTTTTTTTATAAAAACATCCAGAAAACCTGAATAACCCTGAAAACCCCAAAAAACCAGAGTCAGCCGAACAAAAAACATTTCGGATTTCATGTACGACTGAACCAAAAAAAAAAATCAAACAAAAATTCAAAATTATCCGAACGGTTTATGTATCTCTAAACCCGAAAACCTGAAATCCGACCCGAACCAAAACCCGAAGTCCCATGCCTACATCTATTTTTTTTTGTAACCGGATATAAACTAAAGTTGGGTGATAATGAAATTCATACATCAATATCATGGGACTTTTACCCCCATAACCTGAACACAACCCAAAAAATACTACCTAAACCCAAAATTTGAAACTAGGAGACCGATTTTTATATTTATAAACTTGAAAACCAAAAAAAATAAAAGAACACCCAAAAAAACTTAAAAACCCAAAAAATCTGAAAAAACCCGAAAACCCGAATTCAGTCGAACATAAACCATTCGTTATATACAAACCAGGCCTACATCTACATGGGTGATTTGGAGAGACTTTTTTCTTTTAAAAACATACATGAAAAAAAATGCAGAATAATACATTTATACCCTCTCTTTTTTTCTTCACCTTGAGAAATTCGATCAACCTTGAATACTCAAGTAAAGCTTTTGTAAGATAATACTTCTAAGATACATGAAAAAAAACAAAAAATACACATAATTTTTAAGATGATTTTCAATATAGCTTATTTCATATATGAGAATTGCAAATATGTTATATCTTTTCCTTGTCTCAAGATCATGTATTTCCCAATTCATTCAAAGATCATCAAATGAAGAACAACCTCGCATGATTTTCTCCATAGATGATCATGGAGAAGATCATTTGGGGCTGTCTTTCACTTGAAGAGCTTTAAATGACTTGGGATATATGAACTTGATTTTAAATTTCTAAGCAAAAATGAATATGGAGATGTATTGGATTATAGACTGAGAGATTTTGGATTTTGGAAGATTTTGATGGGATGTAGAGAGGTTGTAGATCTATTATATAGAAGTAATTGTGAAAAATAAAAGGCGGCGGAAAATTAGGTTAACATATTGCATAAGAAATTAAGAAAATGAGGACAATTTGGTCATTTATGAATCATGAAACCAAAAAAATTGGATTTGATTTAACCGAGTATTTAGAGTAGTGTTTGACGGAGTTAACATATCCAATGTAAAACCAAAAAGAACAAAAAAAATGTTCAAGTATCAAATTAAGTATTGTTTTTTTCCGACAATTAAGTATTGTTTTACTGAGGTAAAATAGTTTGTATATATTTTTCTGAATTTTAAATAGTTCAGTTATTGCATTCAAAATCCAATAAAATGGGCCACCCTAGTACAAAGATCAGATCCATCAATCTTACATTAAACTAGGACTTTCACCCGCGCACGCGCGGGTCTGTATCTTAAATCAGTTTAAAATATATTTTTTAATTTTTTTTTAAACTGCAAAAATCAACAATTAAAATTTATCAATATTTCAATACCAAAACTCTCTGGAAAACAAAAGTTTTTAGATATATCAATATCGTATTGAGATCAAATCTTGACATACAAAAATATTGTTTAGATCATATCCCGGTAACAAAAATGTTTGTGTATGTCTAATGACCAAAACTTACTTGAAGATATTCAAATCATTATAATAGGACAAACTTACTTTATCACTAAACTTACTTGTAAAATGTAATGTTAATTTATGAACTATTGTGACGTGTTAGTCATTTTCTAAACAGAAATATATTTTTAAATATGTTTAGTGAAATTCTTAAAATTAGATGTCAACAATATTTGTATGTAACATGATGTTTATTTAAAATAACTTCAGTTGGTTATGTTAGAACTTAAAATGCTATAAATAACAATATTTGTATGTAATAAATTTAAGCTAGATGATAAACTAATATTTTGGTAAGTTTTCAATGGTTATAAAACCTAAAACCTAAATGAAGAGAAGCTAGTCGACACACATAATTGTTCTTCATTTTCTTCTTCGTTGTTGTTTTAAAGTTTTTTTTAATTTTCTTTGATTCATTCTTTTTCAGTATCTTATGTTTTGTTTTCTTCTTTGTCTTTGGTCTTATTTGATTTCTTCTTCATTTTCACTCATCTTCGCGTTTGCTCTTCTTCGTCTTCGCTCTTCTTTTTTTTTCTCTTTTTTGTTTTGTTTTGATTTGGTTTCTTCTCCTTTGTTCTTATTTTATTTCCTCTTTAGATTGGTCTTCGCAAGTTTTTTTGTTGTTGTTAGGTTTCTTCTCCTTCGTTCTTGTTCGAATTCCTCTTCAAATTGTTCTTCACAAGTTTTTAATATGGTTTTTCCTTATTCATCTTTGTCTTCTTTGGTCTCTATTTTGTATTCGCAATTCAATATCTTTGTTTTCGCTATTCTTCGGTTTTATCTTGGTACTCTTCTTCTTTGTGTCTACTTTTTTCTTCATTTTTTTTTCTCTTATTTCTGTAGGTTATTCTCGACCCTTAAAATTCTGCATGGTTCCATTCCTCTTGTAAAATTCTGCATGGCTCTATTCCTCTTAAATTTAGAATAAATTATAATTAAATAAAACACAATTTCGTTACCTGAAAAACTGAAAATAAAATCAAGCTAGAATGACTTATTGAACAAAATATATTCAAAACAGGCCCTTTGAATGTCATATGTAAATACTAAAATGAGAAGAAATTTATCTTATTCTGTTTTTCATAAATTTACTTTTGTTTATATTCCTTCTCTTTCAAGTGGCATCTTTTAAAAGTACTACTTATAAACACATGAATATGTAAATATTACAAAACATTGAAAAAACAAAAAAGAAAAATAGAAAAGGAACAAAATACAGCCTTCTATTGTGTTTGCCTTTTCCTTTCAATTTGTGTCATGTAATCACTATTCTGATTTTTTTTCTTTCTTCATAATCAATATTATTTTCCCCATCGAAAGCTTACTAATTTAGGAGCAACAATTCACTTTTGATTTAATCTACACTTTGGTAATTTCGATTCCTTGTTCTCTTCATAGTCCTTTGAATTTTTTGTGGTAATGTAACTTATTTATTAATTAATTGGATGTGCTTCCATTATCAAAATACAAAGAAAATCAATTGAACACCATAGACCAGATAATATTCGAAATAAAGCAAGCGAATTTATTTATTTCACAGAAGGACATGTATACCTTCAGTGTGATGCCCATTGTCTTCGTTTCAATCATTCCTTTGCTTCATGATTTTTCATTAATCCACTACATATCCTTTAGAAGAATTGATCGATCTATGTGAACTTTCAATATGTGATGTCAAAGTATCTTGTCTTCAATATATATCCCTCCATCTTGTTTCCAGGTGGTTTCTCGATGTTGGATTTGTTTGATCTTATATCAAGCTCTGACGTGAACATATGTTTATTCATGTAAGCTACATTTGATCAAAATCCAGTTAATACAATTGTAGCTTTTGTAGGTGTTAAAAAGGGAGGAGAGGACTCTTGGTATATATAAGAAACTAAATAGATGGCAAAAGTGTGTTAGGGTTTTTAATTTTTATTAGCTAAAGGAAAATTTCCTTATTTGTTTCCTTATTTAATTTCCAATAGTATTATTATTTGTTTTCTTTTTTCTTAAAGGAAAATCTCCTTTTTTACAATTCTGCTGATAAAAATAAAAAGTAAATTAATGAAAAAAAATTCAAATATAAATAATTTTAGATGTTGATATATAATGATATTGTTGGTATAATTTTCTTATTTATTACATATCTCTACTAATATTACACTTATAAATTCTGGAAACTTTCCTATTGCTTACCTTTGAATTATGAAACTTTCTTAAAATATAAAAATATAAAAAGGAATTTAACTAATTGAACAAATAGCTAATTTTATGTGATGATGTGGACTGATACTATTGGTTGTTTAAAATTCGGAAACTGCTTAATCTAGGAAATACTTATGTGGACCAATCAAATCGCGTTTTATAATCCTATGTGGACGCTCTCAGAGACTTAGGTGATGATTGGTTCTCCCGCTACCACCCGCAAACGCAGCGTTTGCGGTTCGTAGCGGTTCTTAGCGTTTTATAACAATCACGACAACCGCTTTCAACCGCTCTATACCACTCTGTACCGCTCTATATCGCTGGAAATCAAAAGCTCCTTTCCGCAAGCGTTTGCGGTTGCGGGCGGTTGCGGTTTGAAAAAAAAAAAAAAAACATAATATCTCCAAATTTGGAATAAGGGTATATTTTTTTGAAAAATACCATAATTATGTTTAAAAATTTCGAAAATACCCTAATTTTTTCTGTTTTGAAAAATACACTTTTAAAATGTAAAAAGTATGTTTTGACGTGATTTAAACAAAAAATAATAAATAATTACAAATTAAAACGAAAATTTAAAAAAATAATAAACTAATAAGTTTTTTTTCAAATAAATATAGTATATGTTAAACTGAAACAAATTTTAATATTTTGGATCTTTATATAAACAACTTAACCTCATACACATTCAAACCAAATGAAACTTTAAATAAATTAAAACTTTACATATATTTAAAGTTTATAAATTATTAAAAATTTAAAAGTGGAGAAATATATCTTTCATTTTTAATGTTTATCTTTTGAAAAATTTAAATATTTTTGAAACTTTGCATAAACAACTTTAATCTCACCCCATTTAAACTTTATATAAACAATCTTATATTTTTATTAAATTTTTAAAAAAAAACTAAACAGGTAATTAGGATGTTAAAATGATACAAAATTATTATCAAATCTTAATATTTTATATTTCTTATTTGAATTTCGTTTTTATTAAATTAGGAATAATCATTTTACATATAAAAAGTGTATTTTTCAAAACCAAAAAAAATAAGGGTAGTTTTCAAATTAAAAATTCATCAAAAAATATATTTAAAAAAAATTATTAATATGGTTATAAATGTTTTGAATAATTATATATTATTTTTATTTTAGTAACTTTTGGTTAAACCGCTCTTGCACCCGCTGGCTAACCAGTCAAAAATATCCCGCAAACGCAACCGCTATGAATTGCTATACCAGTCGTACAAACAGCTTTTAATCGCAAACTCCCGCTTCCGCAAACTCCCGCAACCGCAAACTCCCGCAACCGCAACCGCAGCGTTTAAACCAGTCAGGCCCTTATAACCTCAACTTTTATATAGTATAGATTCAAGCCCAACCATTAAGCCCACAACTAATAGACTTTTTGAAAGTGATACTGGAAATTGTTTCTTTCAAACCTTATAGGCAACTAAGTTATTATGTTGCTTCATTGAGAGCATGAGAAAAGACTATGGAAGGTGAATAATCAAGAAAATATAGAGGTTGCTAACAGTAAGAAAGAAGAAGGCTATTTGCAATATAGATATCAAAAGTATCAGCGAGGAGCAAAGAAGTATGTTAAGGTGATTCACCAGAAAAATTGACCAATATGAAGGAGACATAAGTTACCATTCAAATCCATGAAATTTTTTTAGAACATGATATCTATGTTTTTACAGGCTTCAGACTGTATGGAGAATGGCTCTTCTGAAGGTGATGAAGAGAAGCAAGTAAAAGAAGAAGAAACTGTGTTTGTTTGTTTGCATCCTCGTGTTTCTCTTTGGGCTTAGGCTTATTACGATGCATTGACACCTTTTGTTTCCAGGGAACTGAAAATCTAGACATCTCTTTTGCGTAGTTAGTTCATGTAAGTTGCTCTTGAAACTGGACTTGGAGTCTTTTGGCCTTAACAGATCATGAAACTGACCGGTTGAGATCATTTCAAACATAACCTTAGCAAATTTAAACAAAAAAAGAGTTTACGACAGTTATGATTATCTTTAATATTCGGATTAATTAAGTACATAGTCGAGACGACTCAAATAAGACCGTTATCTGCTCGGGACCAAACCTAAGTTAATCGAACCAAACCTAAATTCGGATTAAGTTGGTATTGAGGATTAGTTGTGTTTCAACCTTCAGCAAGACTCACTGAATGTTGTGTTTCATGTTTGGTACTGAAAATTCTGATTTCTTAATTGAAAAAGAAAACTGAATTTTGGTCCTAAATGTAAGCAACAAATCAGGATAAAGAGTGAAAAATTTGAGCATATTAAAGAAAGAACACAAAATTAAACGAGTTTGGATTTCAGCAATACGAGAAAATATCAAAAATTAATACGAAGACCTAGACCAAAGTAATACAATGGTCAATGGCTCAATGGTGAATATATATAAAACGAATGAGATTAAACTAGACTTGATTTTCGAAACCGGATAACAAATAATACAATCTTTCTCTTATCCATTCGAATATAAACCAAATATGAAGGGAAATAAAAACCACTAATCATAATTTTTTTTGAGATAGCCACCTATAATGGATGGTGCAGGACCTGCAGGTTATAGGTGTAAAGTGAAAGACTATATGAGATGGGATATAAATGAATAGTACGTAACATCTATTGCCACTACCACTAACCTATTGCCCGTTTTCATGGCCCAACGTTCATAATCAGTAAGCCAACTGTCAATTATCTACTGCATGCAAGCTAAGAGTGTCCAAAAGGAGTTTTACGCTATATGACAAGAACATTTCTTAAATTATATTATATCTCTGTCTTTTTCAGTTTTGGATTCGATCTTCATGTTTAGACTTAAAACGACAAAAAATAAAAATAATTTTGTTTGTTCTCAATACAAAATGTCAAAAAAAGATCACATCATTTCAAACTCTTAATGATATGTTTTCTATTGGTGGAAGAACAAACAAAAGAAAGTATGGTCTCATAATTATAAACAAACTTTAGACATAATTAAACGCTTTCAATTATTATCAAAATATATTTCCATTTCCGGTCTTGTATTATTGGTATATATCTGTGATGATTTTGGATTAGGTGGTGACTAAAAAATCTAACTTGTGTTTTTTCTCGACAATCATACGTTTATTTTAATTTTTGTTTTTAAAAGAAATCTGGTTATATATATTTGTTTCCAAAGCATACCCTTATTGGCTGCATCAAAGAGTATCTCTTCCTCTTAAAGGCCTTGAAGCCTAGAGAGAAAGAAAACAAATAACAAAAAAAATTGTGTTCTTTGGGGTGAATCAAAAGATTATGGATTTGTCGGATTTTGAAGACAGCAATGGGGGAGAATCAGGTTGGACAATGTACTTAGACCATTCGTCTTCTGTTTCATTGCAACATTTTGATGATCACAATGGGGAAACAAAACAAGAACATGATGAAGATTCTTCAATGGTGTCGGATGCATCTTCCGGGCCTCCATATTACTGCGAAGAGGCCGTCCCTGAAGATCATCTCCAACAAAACACGCAATATTGGTGCAAAAGCAAGAACAAGAACAAGAACAAGAACAAGAAGAAGGTTCACGAAGAACAAGGATATAGGAGATTCAACTCTTGCCTTGATGACACAGCTAGTTCATTGGTATTGTTTTACAAACTTTTTTTTTTAAAGATATTGTTTTACAAACTTCTCATGTTCAATATTCTTCCAAAAAAATTATTAAATTTTTAGGCCAGATGTTTTGGTTAATTATATGCTAACTTTATTATTAAGAAAAACGAAATTTTACATGTTTTCTATCAACTATATTCATTTGGTTCTACAATTATATCATTTAAATAATTTTTTTTTGTAAATATATGAATTAGCCGGTCGGAGAAGAAGTATCAGCACATAAGCAACATCGAGATCAATATCAACGGTTTGATGATTTCTCTCAAAGCTACTCAACAAGAAGAATCTTCAAGGTTTCTACATATTATGCTTGTTTGCTTCATGTTCCGAAGTTAAATTTATATTTTAAAGACCAAAAATTAAGTTTTACCACTTTGGCGCGTTAAAAAGATCACGTATGACGAATTATTTTAAAGTTTTTTATTTCTCTGTTGCAGGGAAAACTTAACTCGGGCCTCCTACAACAAGCTTTCCCAGTTGAGAAATTAGCATTGGATCATCAAGGTTAATGATAATATGTCCATTTTTATTTCTCAATGGTAACTAATAAGTACAATTAACCATAATACATAAATAGACCATAAAAAAATATTGCATAAGTATGAGTATGAGTAAATCTACTGAATTCTTTTTTTTTGTTTTTTTATTAAAGTCAATTTACTGAATCCTCGTATAGTTGTGTATATATATATAGGTGTGTATCATGTATACAATGTATGATGTATATAATACATGTGTGGGTATAAAAGTTTGCATGGAAGAGTAAAATCGTAGCTTGACAAATATTTGTTTTTGCAGGTGGCAGTAACCAGACGAAGAGGAGAGAATAAAAATGATATTCGAATATATAAAAAGAAAATATTCTATATAGTGTTAACGATTGTACATTGCCTTTATAAAAACCATGTGGGTGTTTTTATCTTTTTTTTAATGTTGCATACTATCAGCCATTGAAATTCGGAACAAAATATCGTCGAATGGAAAAAATTCTTCAAATATCTATATTTTCATTCGTTTTGTGAGAGTTCAAAAGGCATCAACGCAGAAAGAATGGAGAGGAAGAAAAACCTAATTAGAGTAACATTTGAGTTATTGTACAAAAAGAAAAGTATATAATTTTCGTCTATAACAAACTTGTAGTATTTATAGTGGTTATATGTCAATAATTTCGTCATTTTAGTCTAGGTTTGAGATCTAGAGATTCATGTCCTTACTGCATATAATTAGTACACGTAGATGCTTCGTAGTTCGTAAACAGTTGAGTCTTGACATCATATGAATATTGATGAGCAGTGTACATAAAGGGATAAATATAGTTAAGCACAGTGACAGAAGAAGCATAAGTACATTGATTGAACATGTAAACATATAGCTACCATTTCTACTTATTTACTACTTTAAGTTTTGTACTCCAATTTCTTGTACATTCCTACACAGCTGGTCATGGGCCCTTCTCATTATTGTACACCTTTCTGTGTATTAGTGGTCACATTTATTTATTTATTATAAACATACAAGTAAGGTGTTTTGTTTATTAAAAAAAAAGAAGCTGTTCTGTTTATTGAATTCCATTGATTTATTTCTCTTACAACAACATACGTTCTTGCACAAACCATATTCAGTAACCATAGTTTTTTTTGCTTTAAACATAAACTTTTTCTTAGGATTAAAGGGGCCATTCTCTTTAAAGTACTCATTTAACCCAACACAAGACCAACGAATATTATTTTCCTTAAGATAATAATCTTGATTTTTAAAAATTTATTCCTGATGTTAACTTGTTTTTTAGACTCTGGTTTCATCTCATATGTAATGGACCTACAAAGAAAAAATCCCTAATATATTAAAAGAGAAAACACTAACTAAATAACCTTTGTCTAATGTGTTATTAACAAGAATGTCATTGCTTAGGTGTCATCACTAGGTTCACTCTTAGAGCAATTTCTAATTAAGACAAGCTTTACTAGACAAATTACAATATATGCCATTGCATATTATGCTTACAACCAAATAATGAAATTAAATTTATCATTCTCTTTCCTTAATTGGCAACTACGAAAATTAGTAAATAAGGAAGATATGAGATTCAATTTAATTCATCATAATAATTTCTTTTAAAATCAGTATACATCTTCTATCATCTTTGTTTAAATTTATTTAATAAAATAATTTGAATCACAATATAAAAAATCTATCAAAAAAAATCTAAAACTTTTTCTGTACATGTTATGATTTGAATTTTTAAAAACAAAATAATATAAATTGTTTCGTATATAACCTCATTTAGTAGGTATCCAAATGTAATTTTTTTTCATTTAATATGGTTTTTTAATTAAAATCTATAATAAATCGAATAAAAAAAGTTCTTTTTATAAATATTTTATTTTGATTAAACTTTTGAATATTACTCTATCTGTTTCAACTTTCTATACAAAATTAATTATATTTTTGCTGTTTTGACAATTTGGATTCTGCATATTATTTTCTGATTGGTTGGATTGTTTTGAAATTATAATAAAGCATGTTTTAGTTTTGAAAGAAAGAAAAAAATTAGTTCTAATCCGTGTCCACACAGCTAAAACTTTTTATCTTATGAAATACATGATGTATAATTTTTCTAAAGAATAATGTTTTATTTTCAATTTTTTTCTTTAAACTATCTTATTATATTATAGTTACTAGGAGAGTACCCGCGCAACGCGCGGGTTTAATTTTACAAAGTTTAATTCTGAGATTCATATCAAATCAAAACTTAGTAATCATTTGTTTTAATATTATATTATGATGATCTAAATAGTAAAGAAAGCAAATTGAAAATGGTAATAAATTTATAAATTGCTTATATAAATTATCTTATAAAAAAAATATTTGAACTACAAGCAGAACAAAATACAACATTTTTTGTAAATCTATAAGAAAACTTAAAAAAAAAACATTTTTCATCCTTTTTTTTTTTGGTAATGAACATTTTTCATCCTTTGTGTCACGATTCTCGAGTTAGTTTATAATATCATTTTAGTGCATTACTTATTTCTGTAAGATGTGAGTATAAAGTTTAACAAAGTAAATTTCAATTCTTCCACCAAGTTTCATGGACAAATCAATACGTGTGCACTAATACGAATCTGTTTATTAACTTCATGATACATGGAGCTATTTTTATACTCTTTCGTTCCATTGCATTGGACTGATTTTGTTTTTCTCCAACAATGCGCTTTTCTAATTAAAACTGATTTTATTTTTCTCCAACTATACGTTTTTTTAATTAAATAAAGAGAAAATTAAACATAAATCCAAGATAGCTACACCTCTTTCATTTTTTTCTCCACTAAAGCTGCCAGCTTTTATAGCATTAGCCAGTTGAAACGAAGTGATCATTATGTCCATTTGATCCTTAGTATTTCAGAGACAAAGAAGCAGCAGCAGCACGAGGTTCATCAACTTGCTTCTCGGGAAAGTAGGACTGTGAATCTCCTACTGTCTCCTTGATTTCACAACTCGGGTCACGAGAAAGTTCCAGGATTTTTGCATCCGATTGACCTATTTTACACTTCTACTTGATTTCTTGTCCTGTGGTTTCTCTGTCTTGTTTCCTAAAGGCTTTGAGGCTCTTTTGATCACTGGTTTTTGTTGTGGCTCCTTTGGTGCGGTCAGGGCAGCAGCAAGGCGCTCAGTAGTGGAGCTTCTCAGTACCGGCTTAGCCTTTGACTGCGCAGCTTCTGTGGTCTTCTCGTTCTTAACCGAGCTCTTCACTGTTTTGGTTACAGTAGGAGTTTTCTTGGACGTTACACTACCACCAGAACTCTTGTCAGCAATTCTCTTTTGCCTCTGAATCAAAAGCTCTTCCATTCTCTTCTTTCTCTCTTCATCCTATCAAAAAGTGCTTGATTAGTGATGATGAATAATTGATGATCTCATATTCTCTTTTTAACGTCACCCTTCTCTGCTACTCCTGAAACTGAGTTTATTGTAAGAAAGTTAGTTACCATTTGGTATTGTCTCTCTATAAGCAACAGCCAAAACTCTTTGGTAGCATCTGCAGATTCAATCAACTATCACTAAAAGAACCTGAGAAATGAAGAACAAAACCATAGTACTATGTCACAATTAAGACTCACCATGTTCCATCGTCAAAGAATGATCTTGCTTGTTTACAAATCCGATCACTTTCGCTGGATTCTCGGCCACCATGCTTTAGAAACACAAAAAGAAAATGTCCATATGAGAAATACTCAAACAGAAAAAACTCTAGAAAGGATGTTTCAGATGCATTTTTGGTAGACAACATTACAATCAAGACTCACCATTTTTAACTTATGCAGTTGTATTATAGATAATGTCGATTATAGACCTGCGACTCTGCGAGAATACCACTTGAGCTAAGGAATATTTTCTTTTGAAAAACAATTTGAAGGAGAGAGTTTGAGAGATGCTTAACCGGAACTTGAAGATTGATCTGGTGGATAATATTCATGAGCTCCTTACGGTTCTAATAAACTGTCTTCGTATCTTCTCCAACAGCACTTTTCGCATCGGCCGCACACCTTACCATTTCATATTTCGAGGGGAAACATGATTAAAATGGAGAACAAAGTCAATTTCATATTATGCTTCGTCTTAAAAGAAAGGAACGAAATTGGACAATTGTTAGACATTAGGGTTTGAATTTTGAACCTTACCATTCAATGAAGATGCTGAAACAGAGAATTTCCTCCGTGGGGCCATAGACGAGCAATAGGAGTTTGGCTTATGATGGAGTCCTGGATCAGAGAAAAGGTCGGACGGAGTTAAATCTACAAAGTGGCGCAGAGAACTATGGAACGATGCTCCTGGAGGTTGATGCAGGGTTTTATAGTGGTGAAGGAGAATTGATAAGGCACAACTGTTTCTTATGCATTTGAGATCAGCCATTAACTTCCACAAGTAGTGAAACGGCTGATGAGGGAAGGGAAAGGGTTGCGGCGGCGAGTTGATGATGATAGGTTCTTGAACGAGTATTTTCCAAAACGACGTCGCAGGAAGGAGAAAAAAAATTCAAAACGAAGTCGTTTTGGCGCCATTCGAAAAAAATAAAGTAAAAAAAATTAGAAACAGTGAAGTAAAAATAAAAGCTGATGTGGCACTCTCTAAGAGTGCTGAGATGTTAGTAGCTGGAGAGTACCCACCTACTTTCAATTATATAGATTTGAGTTTTATGTATCTCGGTTAAATTTATCATATTTAATATGTGGTTACAATCAATGCTTTAATTTTTTTTTAATGGATTAAAATGCCTAATTTTTATACTATAAACGAATAAAAAAGATTAAAAATCTCTCATATTAAATGTCGAAATATTTAAATAAACAATTTTTAATAAAAATACAAATTTAGAAACTATCACTCCGTGCTAGACACGGGTCAAACCCTAGTATAGTAGTAAAATCTAGAGCACTACTAAAAAAGTTAATGGAGCCTCGTAGTTGTATTTTAATTTTTAAGGTTGATCCGACGGAGACATATCACACCGAAAAAAACTTAGCATATGATTGATTGATTAATTAAGTAAGTAAAATAACGTACGTACGAGGTATATTAAATAGAAAATGATCAGAAAAATGTAAAATAGGAAACTAATTAGGTTAAAAAAAAAAAGAAGAGAAAAGTCAATCACTACGGGTTTGTTGAGGTTACGTACAATTGCTATACATTGCGATAAATGATTGATCATGCAATTGTTCTTGACTTCTTTCTCTAATTTAATTATTTTAGAGACACAAGACGAAATCTAATTTAAATCTTCACTAGTTCACTAAGCAACCAGCCATCCATCATGCATTTCTGTGAGAACTCCTCTCTCTACAACGACTCGCATTGCAATTAGATCCAAAACTAACACATCTCAGTTTCCAAATAATGTTATAGGAGGCCTAGAGGCAGTGATAGTGATACCGATATTATTTTTTGATACAGTTTTCTCGTTAATTTTTAAAACTCCAATACGAAATATTTTATGAGTCTCTTCCTCTTTTTTTTTTTGAAAATCCTTTATCAAAAAAAAAAAGAGAGATATAGATATATATATATATATATTTTTTTTTTCTTTTTTCTTTTTTCTTTTTATGAGCATTTATTTTCTTGTCTTATGGATTTCGATTGATGTTTGCTTTGAACTCTCTTCATGTGATCAAAATATCGTCGGTTATGCATGTATAGAAATGTTTTTGCGCATATCTCTTTTATCACTTTAGTTTGAATAACTATTAGCTAATTTTAGTATAATCATAACTTATTTGCAATCATTGGCATGACCGCATGACGAAAGTTGTTTGGATAACTATATATTACAGACTAGGCCTAAAGATCTGAATTAAAGTTAAGGACTTACTGGTTGATTATATCTATTACATGTATTGATCTCGAGTGCATGCCATTGGTAACTGATTTGAAATCAATGTAGTACAAATCAATTATTCGATCGTGAGCGGTTTTGGCTTATATAGAGAGACCGATGTATCTATTTCTATCATGAATACTAAGTGTGTCCACTAGTAATCAATTGATGATTTTGACAGTAGAGTGAAACCACTGCATATAAATGTACTTATTCGGTTGTGAACATTTCTTAAAAGTTTATTATATTAATCTATTAAACTTTTGAGATTAAAATATCACCATTATTGTCATTGTCCACCAAAAACTACAAGGTTTGCTAAAATGATATTTTTCTTTCTTTCTTTGGATGCGTATGTATATTGCGTATACACTGTAACACTGAGACACATGCACGCATGTACGTGTATGCATGTGAGACCCTATATATATATATATATTTTTTTTGGTATGAGAGACCCTATAAAATTGTATGTAATGTATGTATATGTTTGTAGATGAATTGAATTTATAAAATGATATTAATAAAGAAAATGGACCAAATATATGGTCCCTTTGGAAGTGAAATTTCATGTTCACATGGCAAATTGGTTAGTGGCTAGTGGCCCTTTTGCCAGTCTAGCGTCCGTAAACTGCGTTTGTAGGTACACCCATCGCTTCTGTCATTTTATTTCATGTATTTATATAATTATATTCAGAAACTTTTAAAATATCATAACAATATAAATATAATTATATATATATATATATATATATATAGATAAGGCTAGATATTATACTGCATTCAGGTACGGATTCAGTTGGGATCTTTCGGTTTTTCGATACTTAGGTTTGAGAAGCAAACGAATTGAATTAAAACAGAATCAAAGAAAATCTTTGAATATTTATAAAAAAAAACAAAAAACAAAGTTTTAATATATTTGCTTGTGCTCTTTATCTGACCAAATACTGATGTTAAATAGTTATTTTTTTATTTTGTCGCGGTTCACCATTCAAATCTCTTGTAAATGATATTTTGTAACTATTTTCTTTTCTGTATGAAGTCCTTTTTTTCTGACCAATCAATTCTGTATAAAGTCAAATATCTAACTACATGTTTGTTTTCATTGTTTTTATGGTTGTCTGCAACAACAACAAAAAACATTTCAATCACCATAGGTTCACTATAAACTTCAAGAGACATATTAACTTTAAAAACTTATGTTCAAAGTGAAAATATAATTTGCATATAATGATAAAAATAAACAAAATTTATTCAAATTACCAAATCACACCAAGCGGAACACTTTCCAGTGAAAACTTTTCACTTTGCCCGCTTTTTGTAAGTCTTGTAGTTGACTTTTCGTCAAGATGTTTCAACTTAGACCTTAAAAAATTAAGCAATCTTTGGTTTTTATGTATATATCTTATAGTTATTTCCATTATTTCTACTTTTTTGTTATATTTAAATTTTCTAATTTCCATTTATCATTTTTTTTGGGTTAACCATGGAATCCCAAAATATTAATCGCAGAAGGCCTTGCATCCAGATATGCGTTCAAAAATATTCCAAATTTAAATTTCATTGAGATAATGAAAGTTTAACTTTATAGACCAAAAGACTAATCACACGAGGTTTTGCATCCAGATAGGCGTTCAGAAATATTCCAAATTTAAATTACATTGTCCCTATCTACTCATCCAAATAAAGTCAAACCCTCATTATCTAGAAACTCTTTGCAAAAGGAAAATTTCTAAATCAAACAACAAAAACTTTAGGCCATAAATCTTATGCACAAACTGACAAATGGGCCCAAGGCTTAATGAAAGCCCATTAGTTCCGTTCTACATTATCGAATATACATTTACTAAATTTACTTTTTAACTCTCTTCGACTTTCTCGTGCCGTGTCAAATCAAACTACTGTTCTCTCTCTCTCCTATCTGGTAAACTTTCCTCTTCGCCATGAAATTTGATGTTTTTTTTTCCAATTTTCTAGGGTTTGTTTTTTCTACAGTTCTCTTCCAAAAATTTTAGGGCTTGCGTTTGATTTCCTCAATTTCATGTTCCATGTTTCTCCTCCCTCCCTGAATTGTGCTTAATTTAGCTTCTCTGCTCCAAAAACTTCACAAATTAGGGTTTCCGTACTTGTCACTGTTTCGATTTTTAGGGGTTTTGCTTTTTGAACAATTAGAGCTACTCCTGATTTCAAAGCTCTGATCTTTTGACTTTTAAATTGACAATTTAGGTCAAGTATGTTGATAGAATTCCAATTTTTCAGGGGAATTTGAGTCTGAAGCTGAAAGAAAAATTAGGGCTTTTTGGTTGATATGGATTATGATGGAAACAAGTTATTCATTGGAGGCATACCAAGAGAGACTAGTGAAGAGTCTCTGAAGCAGCATTTCAGTAGATATGGTCTTGTGTTGGGAGCTGTTGTTGCTAAAGAGAAAGCCTCTGGACAACCTAGAGGCTTTGCGTTTGTTCGCTTTGCTAATGCCTTTGATGTTGACAAAGCTCTCAGAGATTCTCACTTCATTCTCGGTCGTGCCGTAAGTTTCAAACACACTCTTCTTCTACTTGTGTCTGTGTCCTATCAATTTGGGTTTTGTAGAACTTTGAGATATGTGAATTGGGTTTCATAGGAGTGTTTGATTGATGAGGGATTTGAGTAGATTAACAGAGATTTGGCTTGAAAGTTCGGATTTTTATTGATTCTACTTTGCAACATTTGATCATTTGGCATGAAAGTTGGAATTTTTATTGATTCTACTTTGCGAGATTGATTATTTGGCATGAAAGTTCGAATTTTTATTGATTTTAATTTGCAAGATTTGATCACCGTTTTGTCAATTGGGTTTTGTAGATTTTGAAATATGTGAATTGGGTTTCTCAGTAGTGTTGATTGATGTGAGATTTGAGTAGATTAACAGAGATTTGGCATGAAAGTTCGATTTTATATTGATTCTAGTTTGCAAGATTTTATCATTTAGCATGAAAGGTCGAATTTTTATTGATTCTACTTGGCAAGATTGTTCACAAGTCTTGTACCTTTATATATCAGGTCGATGTGAAGAAGGCAATTCCGAGGCATGAACAGCTTAGGTATCAACAACCAGTACAACAGAACAATGGTGGTTTTCATGAAATGTGGAGTAACAACAACCGTAGGACGAAGAAACTGTTCGTTGGGGGTTTATCATCCGAGACAACTGAAGAAGAGTTCAAGACTTACTTTGAGAAGTTCGGCAGGACGACGGATGTGGTTGTGATGCACGACAGCTTGACGAACAGGCCGAGAGGGTTCGGGTTTGTCACGTTTGATTCAGAGGACTCTGTTGAGATCGTTATGCAGAGCAATTTCCATGAACTGAGTAAGAAACGTGTGGAGGTGAAACGAGCAATACCTAAAGAAGGCATCCAGAGCAATAACCGTAGTAATCGTAACCTTGCTACTACTCCTCCTGCTACTACATACAACAACTTTCAAGCTGCAACAACACCGTATGTCCCTGAGAGAAACGGATATGGAATGCTTGTTCAGTATCCTCCTACCGTCTTTGGTTATCAACACAGTGTTGTCCAAGGCTTCCAGTATCCTATTGGTTACCCATTCACAGCTGAAGGGACGCTTAACGTTCTCTGGAACAATCCGGTTATGCCAACCACCGGGTTTTACTACCCTCCTCCGCCTCCTCCTCCTCCTCCGGCGACGACCAACACTACTTGTTATTACATGAACGGGTTTGATCTTTCGTGTTTGAGCAGGAATGGTTTCAATGCTGTGCCATGGCCTGTTGTAGCTGGTGATGGAACCGGTGTGCTAATACCTCGGTTTGAAGATTTGAAGCTTGAGGTCTCTAGTCAAGGTCATAAGAGAAACAGTGGAGGAGGGAACATGGTGAAGCCGTTGCCTAATGGTATTTATAGATGACAGTTGCAGAAATGGTAAATGCAATTAGGCTCACAATGGTTAGTGACAAATTCTTTGGACTCTTTAAAATGTTTTTTTTTAGGTTTCTCATCTTTCTTCATTTGACTCTTTGGTAAATGTGTTTGGTTGGTTTGGTTGGTTTGGTTTTCCATTGTAAATTATTTAGGTCTTTAATGTAACCCTCAAAAACTTCTGTATTATATTTACTGCATTTGTTATATATCACTGATTTCGTTTAACCTTTGTTACGTTATGTGTTTTTTCATATTTTGATGTTTCTCTTATTGACATGGTCCACTCCAAAACAAATTTAGATAACCCCACATTCATATGGAGAAATTCAAATCATATAATTGAGTATCCGTTTTGGAGCGGAACAAGCAAGAAAAATATTGGACATCGATAAGCTAGAGTCAGAGAAAAATCATAGTCTTACTTTTCTTGGACATCGATAAACATAAACTAGAGTCACTGTCCTTAATTTTTTTTTTCAAATGAAATTTTGAATTTATATCAACAAAATGCAGTATTTTTGGAAACTAGTATGGAAAGCAAACAATAAAGTTAGCCATATTTCTCAAACCAGTATTTTATTTTCTTGATAAATTAGCTTTGCCAAATCTTTATTGGCTCAACCAAAATGGGAACAATATGCGATTTTCTTCATGCAAACCAACACTGCATGAAGTATTGAAGTCAGAAAGTTGCGGCGAAGCTTGATGAACCTACTACTCGTCATTCGGAGTACTATTACTTCAAATACGACTCGTCATTCGGAGTACTATTACTTCAAATACACAAAATCTCTTAATTCATGCTTGAATAGTGATTCTTCCGTATGCTAATGATTTAATAAATGATTCTGAAGTTAATATAAATGATACTTGAAGTAATAAATTTATGAGTAAATATGAACAATACACTGAAGATTGAAAATAAAGGAATACATAAGACAACAATGAGATGAAGAAACACACGGAACAAAGATATCCATATGTTTGATTTAGATGATTAGCATCAAACGAGTTTGCTTAAATATTTTTCAAGTAAGCTGTCAACAATAACTTGATAAGCTCTTTCAGTTGGATGGTAGCTATCCCAGAATATATAGGACGAAGAGTTAGAACATGTGAACGGATGTAGTGAGTTACACATATACGATATTGAAAGAGCACCGGTACCACAACATCCTCTGTCCGCTACTTCAAAACCTGAAACATAGTAAGAAAATTTACTTATAAAATTAGTTCCCTTATACCTAACATAAATAGAAATTTATATGCAAATATATGAACTTACCGTATTTTTTAGGGTGTTGGATCATGTCGTAAAGAGTATCATAAACATCAATGTAAAGGATAACACCATCCAACTCTTTATCTAAAGCATCCAGTGCTGGAGAAAGCCTTGCGTTGAATTGTTTTGCCATATTGTTTAAAGGTTGATTGCATCCTCTTGTAAATATACCTCCGAACACCGTTCTTTGAAGTGGTACACACCCAACAGGTACTGCACTAAACACTCCAATTTTCTTTGCTCCAAGTTTATGTAATTCCTAAGTAATAAATAGAAAATAATTAGTGTTGGATGATATTATGGTTTGGTGTTTCTTATATTTAAATAATGTAAAATACTTACTCTTACGAACTTGACAGCTGAGTCAGCTAAGAAATTTGCATAGGATGTACGACTGTAGCTAAAAGATTGAGCTAAATAAGTGTGAGCAAGGTCATTGCTACTAGAAACCACGACAAAAAAACTGTTGTCCAAGATATTTTGAGCTTTTTCTTCTCCAAAATGTTTCTTGATCGTTGCTATATATTGTTTGAAATATGTCAGTTGATCCCACACCGATATCACTTTCTACAAAACATCAAAATATTAGAAAGATTATCATTTCTAGTATGATGATAAAAATATAGTATAATATATAGTGTCAAAAAAATGGTACAACATACCATAATTTTAGCCGTTAATGGATCGTAACCAGTTCCTCCGGACGCAAATGTTATACCTTTAAGAAGGTCTTCAGGCTTCAAATTTTTATTCATATAAGCTGGCAATGTCTTTGCCAATCCCAACTTTTCAGCTGAAATAAAATTGTTCAAATTAAGAAAAATGTAGTAAAAATAGATATACTCTTTATTTATAAACAAATGTAAAATAATTGAAAACTTACCAATTAGATCAGAGGGAACTCTTCCATCAGAAAATCTTCCAGTGGCTAAACCTCCAGGATAGTCTTTGCCGTAAGGAGGGAAGTTGCATTTTAGCATAGTGGGAAGATTATTGTTGTTACCAGTATCCATTATTGAATCTCCAAAAACTATTAGTGATGGAATTGTTGTATTCTTTGCTGGCTTCGCTGCATTGGCTTCGACGGCTAGTAATACCAAAGCGAGACATAATATTCGAAGCTTCATTGTCTTATATTAATTAATTTACTTCTTTTTTTTGTTTGAGGCTCTTTTTTTGATAAATTTGTTCGAGACTCCCTTGTGTTTAACAAATGTGAAGACATGAATGCATTTATATATTTGTTTCAGTTTGTTGGACTTCTAAAAATATATCTTTGACCAATGGTTGTTACACAAAAATGTTTAAAAAAAAAAGCAAAAAACAATATTTACGTTGTTACACGTGAACCATCTCTAATTAGTTGTTACTTACTTACTTTGATAATGGGTTTTCAATGACAACACACTTTAATTGTTATATTAAAAAAAAACTTTTAACTGTTATTTCTTACCAACTGGCTTTCATAACTTGAATAGACTAGTACTATGTTTGGGATTTTATCCATGGGAGAAATAAAAAGACAGGCCTTTTAACAAAAAAGAAAAGAAAATAAATAAATATTTAACCAATCAAATATACATTACCAAATTATATCACAAAACAGCATTACAAAAAAGTGGAAGTGCATTACGACATTTACGTTTAAAAAGGAGTGGTACATGTAAAGCTTGCAAAATAGAGTAGTTCAAGTTGAGAATATCTATTATCAACGTTGAAAAATCGCTAGACTTAATCAGGCGGTCCGTCTGAGATTTCAGAGTTTTCAAATATGAGAAAAAAACGGATATTATTCCGAGATGAATTTTTACTACATTTTTATAGTTTATTAAACATTTTTATATAGAAGATAACACATAATTATGATAATTATATATTTCAAAATTAGTTTAAACATTTTTCCCCATTACCCAACTAGTACAAAAGACAAAATTAATTCCATTCACAAGATCTACAAAACAAATATTGTCTTCATCATCATATTAAGAACATACAAAAAATATTAAAAGGATTGTAAATTTGTAATTATTCATTCTTATGTTCTTCAATGATCAAGTAATGAATATGTAGCGGACTATTAGATGTGTTAATCAATTACCAACCTGAAAACAGAAGTCAAAATTATGTGTTAATAAAACGCTGAAAGTACAAACCAACATCTGAAACCAAAAATATAAAACTAAACCTGTGAAAATACTATCGGAGTAAACCAAACTTATATACTGCATAAACCAATAAACCAAGTAACCAAGCATATACTATATGAGATATATCATGTTCTTGGCTTAATATATTTTTGTGTTTTAATAATATTTAAGGTTAAATTTTATGAAGCTGGTGTAAATCCCAAACATAGTATATTCGAGTTGTGAAAACCAGTAAATAAAAAATTACAATTAAAGTTTGTTGTCATTGAAAAACCATTGTCAAAGTAATAACTAATTAGAGATGGCATCACGTGTAACAACTATTGGTCAAAAGATATATTTTTAGAAGTCCAACAAACTGAAACAATCATATATAAATGCATGCATGTCTTCACATTTGTAAAACACAAGCAAAGCTCGAGCAGATAAGCAAAAAAAAATCATAAAAAAACAATGAAGATTCAGTTATTATGTCTCGCTTTGGTATTACTAGCCGTCGAAGCCAATGCAGCGAAGCCAGCAAAGAATACAACAATCCCATCACTAATAGTTTTTGGAGATTCAATAATGGATACTGGTAACAACAATAATCTTCCCACTATGCTAAAATGCAACTTCCCTCCTTACGGCAAAGATTATCCTGGAGGTTTAGCCACTGGAAGATTTTCTGATGGAAGAGTTCCCTCTGATCTAATTGGTAAGTTTTAAATTATTTTTACAATTGTTTATAAATAAAGAGTATAACTATTTTTATACATTTATCTTATTTTGAACAATTTTATTTCAGCCGAAAAGTTGGGATTGGCTAAGACATTGCCAGCTTATATGAATAAAAATTTGAAGCCTGAAGACCTTCTTAAAGGTATAACATTTGCATCAGGAGGAACTGGTTACGATCCGTTAACGGCTAAGATTATGGTATGTTATACTATTTCTTTTGACACTATTCTACTATATTTTTATCATCAAAATTTAAATTCATACTATATATTTTGATTTTTTTTTTGTAGAAAGTGATATCAGTGTGGGATCAACTAACATATTTCAAAGAATATATAGCAAAGATCAAGAAACATTTTGGAGAAGAAAAAGCTCAAAATATCTTGGACAACAGTTTTTTTGTCGTGGTTTCTAGTAGCAATGACCTTGCTCACACTTATTTAGCCCAAGCTTCTAGATACAGTCGTACATCATATGCAAATTTCTTAGCTGACTCTGCGGTCAAATTCGTAAGAGTAAGTATTTTACATTCATTTTTATATATAATCACCAAAACCATAATATGACTGTATCCAACACTAATTATCTTCTATTTATTACATAGGAATTACATAAACTTGGTGCAAAGAAAATTGGAGTGTTTAGTGCAGTACCTGTCGGGTGTGTACCACTTCAAAGAACAGTGTTCGGAGGTATGTTAACAAGAGGATGCAATCAACCTTTAAACAATATGGCAAAACAATTCAACGCAAGGCTTTCTCCAGCACTGGATGCTTTAGATAAAGAGTTGGATGGTATTATCCTTTACATTGATGTTTATGATACTCTTTACGACATGATCCAATACCCTAAAAAATACGGTAAGTTCATATGTGTGTATATAAAATTTCTGTTTATATTACATATAAGTGAACTAGTTTTATAAGTAAATTCTCTTACTATGTTTCAGGTTTTGAGGTAGCGGACAGAGGATGTTGTGGCACTGGTGCTCTTTCAATATCGTACATGTGTAACTCACTACATCCGTTCACATGTTCTAACTCGTCGTCCTATATATTTTGGGATAGCTACCATCCAACTGAAAGAGCTTATCAAGTTATCGTTGACAGCTTACTCGACAAATATTTAAGCAAACTTGTTTGATGCTAAATAGTCATCTAAATCAAACATATTAAATTCTTTGTGTGTCTTTGTTCTTCTTCATCTCATTGTTGTCTTTATGTATTCATTTATTTTTCAGTCTTCAGTGTATTGTTCAGTATATACTCATCAATTTATAAACTTCAAGATCAAGATTCATTTATATTAGCTTCAATAATCATTTATTAAATGCTCATTAACAAACTGAAGAACAAATAATAAAACACGAATTAAGAGATTTTATGTTCTTTCTAAAGTAATGAGAAAACCCCTTTAAAATACAACTTATTTTTCATTTGCTTGAAAAAACCACAAACATTTTAGGGTAGCAAAAATATACCCATACTATTTTTCAGTGTCATTTTGATATAATGACATTCAAATTGAAAAGGTTTACAAAGCAGTTTTGTTTTTGGTAAAAAAAGCTTTACAAAACATTTTAGAAAACGTTTATTCATTTTTCATGGGGAATGTTCACAAGCGAAATTTCCAAATTAAGTGTTTCTAAGTTGCCAAAAGTATACTCAGAATATTCTTCATTGTCGTTTTAACACACATACTTTCAAATTTTGAAAGTTTTACCCTTAATTCAATGTGTGCATTTAATTAATCCTGAATCACACGTTTTGCCTTTCCTTATTAATCCATCAATCTTCTAGATGAAAAAGACCAAAAATATTTTGGATGAAATTTGGGTGAATAAAGTTGAATTTGAACTTGAATTTTGGCTGTGATCCATTTATGGATGAATTTCTTTGTGACCCGTAAAGAAAGCGAGAAAAGGATAGAAAAATGATAAATTGATGTAGGGCGTTCTAAGGATTTGAAAGAAAATGAGATCAATTTTGGAGATATAAGGCAAGGGCAAAATAGGTTATTTGCGATTAATTAAACATAAGGGTAAACCATTCGAAATTTGAATGTTTGTGTATTAAAATGCCAATGAAAAATAGTTTATATATGTTTCCAGTTAAAAATGTTTAATTTTGAAATTTCGGTTGTGACAATACCTTATCAAAAATGATTACGCGTTTTCTAAAACGTTTTTGAAGTTTGAATGGCTGTTTATTAAAATGATATTGGAAAATAGTCTGGATATGTTTGGCAACCTAAAATTTTCTTGGTTTTATATGGCAAGTAAAAGATATGAGGCCTAGTACCTACTTATTTAAAGTGTTTTGGGTCCTAGGGGCTGGTCTGTGCTGCAAATGGGTCGGGATAAAATGAACAAAAAATACCCTACAGTGAAATCTATAATGCAAGACCAGAGAAAATCTAACTCAGCACATAATGTAACGATGTGCACGGATTCCAACTTTTAACCTTATATAGCCAAGATTAAAATTAATAATAAAATTTATCTAATAATAAAATTGAGTCCAGATACATCCACTTTTTTGCAGATATATTTTCCCAAACTGCTTATAATATAGGACAGAGAGAATATCTTACAAGAAAAATTGCATTTGATAGTAGACAGTGGACTCCCTTAGTCTTCAAATTTGCATGGAGTCGTCACTAGCAAACCTACAATTAACCGGAGCATTAGAAAACATATTTTGTTTTATTTTTTTTCACTCCGTGATCAAGCCTGGCCGCAACTTAAATTATATATGACTTCATGCAGCATTGGTTTGCACGGAAAATTCGGCTAACTTTTATCGTTTGCTTTCCATACTAGTTTCCAAAAATATTTCTTTTTGTTGATAAAAAAAATCATTTGAAAATATTTGCAGTCATAAGTCTATAACAAAAGTAAAACTCTATGATTTTTCTTTTACATACACAACACGCACGTGAAACGTCATATATATGTCGATTTGGTGGTGTCAGTGTTGTTTTACTTGCTCCGCTCCAAAACGGATACTGAATTATATGATTTGATTTTCTATCTTCATATGGTTATCTATATTTTTTGGGAGTGAATCATGTCAAATAAACATATTAACATTACTTAAAAAATGACCTTTACATGAAATTTTGCCTAGTCATGTTTTGTAAATAGCTGTCGATTTGTCAACAACGTAAGGGTCAAATATCTAATAAAATAGTTGATTGTATGTATTTCATCTCTCTGGAAAAAGGCCATAATATCAGTAGTAGTTTCTTTTGTTGGCAAAAATCTTCCCTCTTGCCCTCTTTTTTCTTTTTCCCCCCATGGCAAAAATCCCAAACATAGTATATTCAAGTTGTGAAAGCCAGTTGGTAAGAATTAACGATTAAAGTTTTGTTTTTGACAATAATTAAAGTTTGTTGTCATTGAAAAACCATTATCAAAATAATAACTAACTATTGGTCAAAAGATGCATCACGTGTAACAACTATTGGTCAAAAGATATATTTTTAGAAGTCCAACAACCTGAAACAATCATATATAAATGCACGAATGTCTTCACATTTGTACAACGCAAGCGAGTCACGAGCAAAAAAAGAACAAAAAAGAGTAAATAACTCAAATACTGTATAAGACAATGAAGCTTCGAATATTGTGTCTCGCTTTGGTATTACTAGCCTTCGAAGCAAATGCAGCCAAGCCAGCAAAGAATACAACAATTCCAGCACTAATAGTTTTTGGAGATTCAATAATGGATACTGGTAACAACAATAATCTTCCCACTATGCTAAAATGCAACTTCCCTCCTTACGGCAAAGACTATCCTGGAGGTTTAGCCACTGGAAGATTTTCTGATGGAAGAGTTCCCTCTGATCTAATTGGTAAGTTTTCAGTTATTTTAACATTTGTTTATAAATAAAGAGTATAGCTATTTTTACATCTTAATAGATTTTTCTTAATTTGAACAATCTTATTACAGCGGAAAAGTTGGGATTGGCTAAGACTTTGCCAGCTTATATGAATAAAAATTTGAAGCCTGAAGACCTTCTTAACGGTATAACATTTGCCTCAGGAGGAACTGGTTACGATCCATTAACTGCTAAGATTATGGTATGTCATACCATATTTGTTTTTGAGACTATTATACTATATTTTTATCATCAAAATTTAGATTTGTACTAGAAATTATAATCTTTCTAATATTTTGTAGAAAGTGATATCGGTGTGGGATCAACTGACATATTTCAAAGAATATATAGCAACGATCAAGAAACATTTTGGAGAAGAAAAAGCTCAAAATATCTTGGACAACAGTCTTTTTGTCGTGGTTTCTAGTAGCAATGACCTTGCTCACACTTATTTAGCTCAATCTTTTAGCTACAGTCGTACATCCTATGCAAATTTCTTAGCTGACAATGCGGTCAAATTCGTAAGAGTAAGTATTTAACATTCATTCTTATATATAAACACCAAACAATAATATAATTGTATCCAACACTAATTCTCTTCTATTTATTACATAGGAATTACATAAACTTGGAGCAAAGAAAATTGGCGTGTTTAGTGCAGTACCTGTTGGGTGTGTACCACTTCAAAGAACGGTGTTCGGGGGTATATTAACAAGAGGATGCAATCAACCTTTAAACAATATGGCAAAACAATTCAATGCAAGGCTTTCTCCAGCACTTGATGCTTTAGATAAAGAGTTGGATGGTGTTATCCTTTACATTGATGTTTATGATACTCTTTACGACATGATGCAATACCCAAAGAAATACGGTAAGGTCATTTATTTGTAAATAAATTTCTATTTGTATTATATATAAGTGAACTAATTTTATAAGTACAATGCTTACTATGTTTCAGGTTTTGAAGTAGCGGACAGAGGATGTTGTGGGACCGGTGCTCTTTCAATATCGTATATGTGTAACTCACTACATCCGCTCACATGTTCTAACTCTTCGTCCTACATATTTTGGGATAGCTACCATCCAACTGAAAGAGCTTATCAAGTTATCGTTGACAGTTTACTCGACAAATATTTAAGCAAACTTGTTTAATATGCTAATCATCTAAATCAAACTCATTGATATCTTTGTATGTCCTTGTGTCTTCAGCTCATTATTGTCTTAATGTGTTCATTCATTTTTCAATCGTGAGTGTATTGTTCAATATACTCTTCAAAATGAAGAGTCATTTATATTAGCTTCAAGACTCATTTATTGAATGTTCGTTGACAAACGGAAGAACCAATAATAAAACACGAATTAAGATATTTTATGTTCTTTCTAAAGTAATGCCAAAACCCCTTTAAAATACAACCTATTTTTCATTTGTTAGAAAAAACCACAAACATTTTTGTTTAGAAAAAAATATACCCATACTAGTTTTCAGTGTCATTTTGATCTATAGACATTCAAAATTCAAAAGGTTTTACAAAACGTTTAATCGTTTTTCATGGGGAATGGTCACAAACGAAATTTCGAAATTAAGTGTTTTTAAGTTGCCAAAAGTATATACTCAGACTATTCTTCATTGTCGTTTCAATACACATCCTTTCACATTTTGAATTTACCCTTAACTAGGAATTGACCCGGGCTAACGCCCCGGGAACTTTTTCAAAAATTGTGTTTTAATTTGATTTTGTCATTTCTATATGTTATACTATTTCATTAAAGCAAAATTTGATTGTATTCTAGAAATTCACTTAATATAATACTATTTAATTTGATTTTTATAGGTTATTGGAAACTCTATTTTGTGGTAAATTCCGACTATAGTATATGCATATTTTTTTATATTTTATTAGATAAAAGAAAAATCACTAAAATTACTAAAAACATAATGATATATCAAATAGAGCATCAAATTTAAAAGAAACAAAAATTTATCATTCGAAACACACAATCGCAGTAATTCAAGATTGAGAATGTCTCAACATATCTAAGAATTAATGTCTTAACATAACTACCCTAAGCTTTTGATTACTCTATCGAGAGTGAGTTGTTAATCAATCATAAAAAGGTCCTCATAAAGGGCTATAACAGAGCAATGGTGAAATAACAAAACTCGTGAATAAAACTCTTTGTCATCATGATTCATAACAAAATCTGATTTTTATGAAGTTTTTAGCACACGTCCATAGATCAACACTTATTTCTCTCTTTTTTTGTTAAACAACCTCTCATTTGATAAAGATTGCTCAAATCCCATCAGCCAAACATATATTAATTCCAAACATCGCTATTAACTTTTTGATGCTGGAGGTGGACGAGGATTCAAAGATGCGACTGATTTTGAAGGACTTTCAAGAGTTTACTTTACGATAAGAAGATTCTAAATAGTTGCAACGTGAAACTTGTTATAATCTGCAGAGTCTAGACAATAATTACTTTAGAAGCATTCTTATAGTTTCAGATTTTCAACAAGTGGATCAGTGCTCATAGCTCCATGTCTGAAACTTCAACCTCAGTCCCATTCACCAAACTATCTGAAAAGAAAAAAGGTTGAAACCTGGGGTTGTATCTATATTTTGAGCTTCCATTTCGTTTATCCCTCGATAGAGCACAACCAACCTTGTCCCTAGACACACCGCTTGAGCACCAAGCGACAACGTTACGACGTAACCGCGTGCATCCACTATTTCTCCAGCAGCGATCACCGGAATATCGCATTCCCCGACTACATCCACCACTCTTGGCAAAAACGAAAACAGAGCATCCTTCCCAATTACATGCCCTCATGCTTCATGCCCTTACACTATAATTGCGTCTTCTCCTACAGCAACGGCCTTTCTAGCTTTTCCATATTCCCAACCTTATAAAATTACTAATAAATCAAGCAAATTCCTTCTACTTAACCTCTTTGGGATTTGTTGGTTTAAAACTTTTTATCGGAGGAACAACTTTGGCACCGGCACGGTGAGCATCATCCACCAGCTTCTTTGAACATTCACCCTAATAAAAGTGCAATACAGCAACCTTCGCTTCTAAGATTGTCTTTATGTTTAACTCACTAGTAGAGTACCCGCACGTTTGTGCGGTGTGACGTTGTTGTTTTGTGTAGAAAATTTAAACCCTAAATCCGAACCCGACAAAAAACCCTAATCAAAAAATTTAAAAACCCAAACTTTTTTAATAGGTCTAAACATGAAAATCCGAAATCAAAAAAATCCCGAAAACCCTGACTGAACAAAAAAAATCTGGAAACTTTTTCACCCGGAACCCGACCCCAATACCTAATCAAAATTTTAAAATACTCAATTTTTTTAATATATCTAAACCCGAAAACCAGAAATCTAAAAAATCCGGAAAACCCTAAACTGAAAAAAAAAACCTTGAACCTAACCCGAACAATTTCTATATCTCTATATATATCTCTATAAAATTATGTCTCAGATTTTCACCCAAACCCGAACTTGTCTATAAAAACCCGAAAATCCAAAAAGCATATTCTATTGATTTGGAATTATCGTTAGATTATGTTAAGTTTTTTTTTTGCAGATTTTTAAGAGATGGAAAACGGAAGTTTTCTAAACCATCGGTTTATTTTAAGTTATTATTCTTGTATCCAAACAATTTTTTCCATTTATTCTTCTATCCAAATAGATTTTTCTCTTATTCTTATATCCAAACAACTTTTGTTTCCATTTATTCTTCTATCCAAATAGATGTTTCTCTAATTCTTGTATCCAAACATTAGAATGTACTTCTCAATTAATAATATAAAGATGAAGAAACGCAAGAACAACACCAATCCCGGTTTCTCTGTCAAGTCTTTGTCTTCCTTATCAGCTCTCTCAAGTAATCAGGACACTCCTGATTTACATAATCAAAAACATTCAAAATCAGTGTAATAACAACGGGAAAAAATATAAGAAGGTTGATGTTACCTAATCAGGACATCAAAGAAGACCAGAAAAGGACCATAATTTCACTATTCCGTATTCGAAACCTAGGATCATAATTTCACTGCTTATCTCTCAGGTGTGTTTTTATCTTCATCTCCCCCAGAAAATTCTTCTATAATACAAAACCCCCAGAGAGTCGCAATCGAAATTTCTTACGCTTTCTTCTCAGTTCATCATAATAATAAGAAGAAGAAGAGAAGCAAAGACCTTTAGGGATTCTCTTCTCTCTGTGTTTGGGACTAATATATCCATGAGACTCCTTATGGCTTCTTCAAGTACCTTTTATCTTCACCTCTTCATTGAAGAATCCCTAATTCATATGATTCTCCAACTTCAACTTCATCTCCTTCCTCCAAATCTGGCTAGATTCTCTAATTATTACTTCGGAGTCACTTCGATATTTGAATAACTCTTTCTTCAAGTTCCCATTGGCCTTAGCTCAACACTTACAGTCAATCTCTGCAGCCACATCCGAATCCTTCTTCTCCTCCTGCAGTTCTTCTTCTTAACAGCCATTAATCTCCTCTCTTTGATCCGACTCTGAGGAGAGAACACCGCCAGACATTAAGCTTCGATTTCGGATTTACAAACAAATCAGAGAAGGAAATAGGTCAGTCAATTAACCAAGTGAAAACCAGGCCAAACCAAAATTATAAATGTGGCAAACTAAACCAGAAAAGTTGCTGACTAAGATTAAATGAAATGTTTCTATTGGCTGGACGATTTTAATGAGGTGTCACTTCCAGGAAGTTTAAAAAAGCTGAGTTGTCAATACCTGGAGAGGCACATAGACTTTTGCTGTGTTGATTCAACGTGTACATTTAATTAATCTTAAATCACATGTTTTGCGCGCCTTTCCTTATTTCCCATTAATCTTCTTGATGAAAAAAGACCATAGCAAGAAAAATATAGAAAAATGATAAATTGATGTAGGGTTCTAATGGTTTGGATGAAATGGGATCAATTTGGGAGAAATAAAGGCAAGGGCAAAATATGTTATTTGCGATAATTAAACATAAGGGTAAAACCGTAAGCAGCTGGTCCTCAAAACGTCTATCGGCCACAGGAAAAATGGTTAAAATGGTTATGCTGAAATCAGTTCTAGCTGATATGCCTTCCTTCACCATGTCCTACTTCAAGCTTCTGCTAGGTCTTCGTAAAAAGATCCAGTCAGCGCTTATTCGGTTTTGGTGGGATGGGAGTAAGGAAAAAAAGAAAATGTGTTGGGTCTCTTGGTCAAATCTCGCTAAAGGGAAAAACGTGGGAGGACTCAGCTTCAGAAATATTAAATGCTTCAATGACACATTGCTTGCTAAAGTAAGCTGGTGGATCCTTACTAACCCAGAGTGTCTCTTGGCCAGAGTTTTGCTAGGGAAATATATACTGCCATAATGCTTCTTTCGTTGATAGCCAAACTCCAAGCTCCTCATCCCATGGTTGGAGAGGGATTGAAACAACCAACACTTTTTTTTATTTATTAAATAAATCATAATTAAATAACAATATCAATTCAGCGGAAGCAAAAACAATTAAATAAATAATTCTAACAACTTAAACAATGCAAAACAAATAAATTCTATCATCCCCTCTTCAGCCTCGATTCCGCGATCACATAAACCTTTTACCTGCATCACATTGCGAAAGAGATGCTAAGTGAGACAATCATTACGTAATTTACTAGCAATTAAAATAATTATTATAAACCCAATAATTATTAAAATATCATTTCTCCATTATTAATTAATTTCCATAATTTTTTAATAATTTCCATAAATTAAAATAATTAGTTTAAACCATTTAATTAATTAAATACGAATTAAACCAAACCAATTCGGATAAACCATTTCCAATTCAATTAAACCAACCAATTTCAATTAAGCAAATTAAATCAATTTTAACCGGAGATAACCGGTCTGTGTCGACCGACACATGCTTTGTGTCGCTCGACACAAACCTTCTGGTGTCGACGGACACACGATTTGTGTCGCTCGACACCGATTCCCAGATTTCGCAGATCGAGCTATGAACAGTACTCCAAACACAAGAAATCATCAACAACTCCAATCAACAACGATACACAACCATAACATCACAAATCAACACACAAACACACACACACCACATGAATCTAGCAATCACGGACCCACAATCATGCACTCACCTCGATTTCGGATTGAAAAGAGCGAGAAAATCGAAAGATAAGATGAACACACGAAGAACCACAAATCTAGCACGACGAACCACCACGCAACAGCCACCACACGCACTCAGAACCCCAAATCGGCGATGAACGGACTCGAAACACACACCAAACCACGAAATCGCCTTAAGAAACTCGATTTCTCCTCTTCTCCTTTTTCCTTTTAATCGCGAGCCTTACTTCTGACCCAAACCGGTTTAACCGGAAATCGCGAACTAGGATCTGTGTCGACCGACACAAATCCTTTGTGTCGCTCAACACAACCCAATTTTCGCAATACCAAAGTTTACGGATGTTACAGGGATTAGCATTGGGAAAGAACTCCTCAGACAAAAGCTTGGAAAAGTATTTGGAGATGGTAAATCCACATCCATTTGGTTTGATCTGTGGCTCTCCCTCTCCGAGAAGCTAACTCCGGTTGGACCATCTTCAGAAAACTCAAGCAACCTAAAGGTTTCAGAGCTTATCTCCCCAACTAATTTGGACTGGGATACATCTAAGATCAGACATATTCTACCGGAGTTAGAGCAAGACATACTTTGCCTAAAACCGAGCATCTCTAGAGCTCCGGACAAGTTTGTGTGGCTCCCTTCGATCTCTGGAATGTATACTACTAAAACAGGCTATTACACAGCAAAAGAGCTATCATGGCCTTAGCCCCAAGATGTGAATCCATATCCATCATTCAGCTGGAGATCAGAAATTTGGAGGGGAAAATTCTCGGAAAAAAAATCAAACTCTTCCTCTGGAAAATCATGAGAGGAGCATTACCGGTTGGAGAACAATTGCTTGCGAGAGGACTAATCTCATAATCTAATTGCTTTAGATGTGGAGAACCTGAAACCATCAATAATATTTTCTTCTCATGCAGCTTTGCCCATAATATATGGAAGATCGTTCCTTTTCAAAGATCAACTTGATCCCCTACTAGTACAGAACTTCGAAGCCGGCTTGACAGCAGATACGTTTATGATCTGTCTACCACCTGTTGGCGTTGCTCCTGGACCTCTGCTCCATTGGATCTGCTGGACAATTTGGACTGCTTGAAACAACGCAATCTTCAATAAAAGACTGTTTACGGCTGAAGAAATGTTGATAAAGGCAAGAAATGCAGCCAGATAATGGTTATGGGTACAAGAGACCATCTCTCCACCTCTGCTCTAACCCGGATTTAGACTGAACCTTCAGATCAATCCCGACACGATTACTTGCTCTACGGATGCTGCTTGGCGTTTAAACATCAGATATGCGGGATTTGAATGGGCTCTTCACAACCAAGACAAAGCGCTTATCGGCGAAGGCTAAGGGTCTAAATTTTTTTTTGCATCAGCGCTTGCAGCAGAACGACTAGCAGTGGTTGAAGCTCTGACCATGCAAAAAGAAGAGGTATTGAGAAGATCACCATCGCTTCAGACTCGTCACAACTTATCAAGGCCTTAAATCACAGAGTGGATCTGAAGGAGATCTATGGGATTTCGCATGATATTCAAACTCTCTCAAAAAGATTTATAGCAATTGATTTTGTCTCAATTCCGAGATCTAAAAATGTTTATGCTGACTCACTAGCAAAAGCGTCTCGCCACTCCCTGTCAGTGGAGATTGAATTATCCTAAGTTTTTAATGAAATTTTTATTTCGACAAAAAAAAACGGTTAAACATTTGAAATTTGAATGTTTGTGTACTAAAACGACAATGAAAAATAGTTTGGATAATGTTCCAGCAACTAAAAACGTTTAATTTTAAAATTTCAGTTGTGACAATACCTTATCAAAAATGGTTAAGCGGTTTTCTAAAACTTTTTTGTAAAGCTTTTGACGTTTGAATGGATGTTAATTAAAATGACACCAAAACATAGTTTGTATATGTTTGGTTTTATATAGCAAGTAAAAGATATGAGGCCTAGTACCTACTTACTTGAAGTGCTTTGGGTCCAAGGGGCTGATATGTGCTTCAAATGGGTCAGGATAAAATGAACAAAAAATACATAATGCAAGACCAGAGAAAATCTAACTCATTGATCAATGTAACGATGTGCACCGATTCCAAATTTTAACCTTGTATAGCCAAGATTAATAATATATGAATATTATTTCCCCTTCTCTTTCCCAAACCCAGCTGCCGTCAAGCTTTCTGTTTCTACTTGGCTTCTTCCTCTCCAGTGACCGGTGCTCCTCACCACCGCCGGGAGAGGCCCCATCTTCTTCCTTTCCTATGTTCGGTCTCTTCTCCGTTTTGCTCAGTTTTCAATGCAAAGGTTTTCTTCTCGGCTTCGTCTCAAGCTTTGCAGTGGTGATTCTTCATCACTGTTGTGGAAGATTGGTGCGGAGGTGGAGTGTGGCGGCTTGGCTCCTTCCTCCGGCGTGGTGCACCGATCTCTGTCTTAGGTAGGTCTTAGATGAGGGGTTCGTCAGATCTGGTCGTATTGGCAGTCGTGGAGGTTTTGAAGACGTGTCTCCGTCTCCAATCAATCCAAGGAGGTGGTTTTCCTTTTTCTGTTTCTCGTCAACGACAGCAATGGTGGGATCTCCGGTGTGCCGAAGTGGTGGCTCACCCGTTGTCTCTTTCATTTTGTTCCCAATGTTGTAGGGCGGTTGCTGATTGCGTTGGTGAATCCTCGGTGACGAGTAGTGGCTTCTCTGCTCATATTTTAGCCGTTGGTGTGGCTCCTCTGTATCCATCTGGTGTGGCTCTTCTGTATCCATATGGTGCTTCTCTCTTGGCTTTTTTTCAGCAGCTTCTTTGAGCGGTAATTCGACGTGGGGGATGGCTCCATCCAGCGACAATGGTGATTAATTGAGGAATAGCGGCGGATTTTCCTCTCGGCGACTGTGAAACTTATGTGGGAGCTTGATCTCGTTGGAACATGCTCGATATTGGCGGTCGGAGGCGGCTTCTTCGACTGCCCGTAGAGGCTTCCTTTGCCGCCGGATGATGAAGAGTTGTGGGAGTGGTTCCGCTTTTGTGTTAGTATTCGGAGAAGCTGTAGGTTATCTTCTCGTGCGGTGAGGTTTTGAGGGCTGGCCTCGGGTTTGGATGCTCGCGGTAACTACGATAAGGACTCAAGTTCTTTTGGACTTTGGGAGGAGCGCAAATTTCTGGGCTTTTATTTGGAATCGGTGTTTCCTCTCGGGATTTTGTTCGGTTCTCTGTAATGTGTGCTTAGCTTATTGTTTGTTCGCTCTTCATTTTTGCTGTTGTAATCAAAGTCTGTTCTTGTAGTTTTTTTGGTCTTTCCGTTATCTAGTTATTTCTGTAACTTCTGTCACAAATTTGAAAATATTTAAAATCTTTACATTTACCCAAAAAAACAGTGGAATCCTTTAGTCTTCAAATTTGCATGGAGTCGTCACCAGCGAACCTACAATTATCCTGAGCATTAGAAAACACATTTTTGTTGCTCTTTGTGATCAAGCCTCTCCGCAACTTATGATCTCATGCAGCTGGTTTCCACGTAAAAATTCGGCTAATTATTTGGGGTCTTGTGGTCAAGTGGTAAGGAGACGGGCTTGGGACGCCAACA